CTGTAATTTTTTCAAGTTTGTTGTGATATAAAAATCTGTTTAGTTTAGATATAATTGATTAATTTATTTTGTGAGTGAATATTTTATTATTGTTTAGTTTTTGTTATAATAAGAGTTAAAAGCAGATGATTTCAGGAAGTTGTGATTATAATTCATTGATGTCGAGACTATCAAACATCGCATGCAATACATTGACATTGAGAATATAGAGATTTTTAGAAGGCAGGCAGACGATTAAATGATAAACATATAAATAGTGTGAGATGAGCAGAAATGGCAGACAGATAATAGCAAAAGAGAGTCAAGTTACGGGCAAGGAAAAGTTCGTCATGAAGTTAACTACCATATAAGTGATAGGCCTAATGATTAACATAGGCCTAACATTTAATATGTAAGATTAACAGTTGAAAAGGAGAGAAGAAGAATTATTCAATCAAAGCATGGTTCTAAAGTAACTGAATCAGCCTGAGTGCACTTTGATAAAAGGAACAGAGGATATTTAGAAGAAAGAAGACCAAACGATTACAGTAACTCATGCCACAATTTTAAGTGAATCACACATAGAATACTAGTGCAATAGTAATAGAGAAGATAGTTTGGCTTGTCAACTGAAATTCTAAAGTAATTGAATAGGCCTGAGTGACTTTTGACAAGAAGAAGAGAACTATATATATATAGTGTCTATGATATGCCTATAATCTCTGTAGTGTGAAGAATTTGTTGTACATAAGCTTAACTTGTTCCAAATATATGTATATTATTTTGAAAACAGGTGAAGTGCATGCTGTTCATTTATCATAGAATTTATCATCATCAAGTCACAAACACTTACTGTAGAAAAATCCTAAGCCCAACAACAACACAGTATATATATTTATACCATTAAGAAGTATAAGTAAAAGCTGTTTATTTTGACAGTTGGCAAATAATTTATATTTTAAATTTTGACAAAGTTTATATTTAGTTTTTATTAATATATCTAAGTTTTGTATGAACTGTATGAGCTTAGGTTTTGATAAAAGTTTATAAAGAGTAAAATTTTTATTTTTTGTTTAATATTTCTAACATTTTTAAATTTAAATAATTGTCCATTTCTGGTATTATGGGCAAAAAGAAATCAATACTCTTTGATTTGTATTACTAAAACGTTTTTTAATTCATTTTACACAAGTTTTCAAAGCTATCAAATGAATTTATAAGCTGTTTAGGCTTTGAATGAGAAAATTTTTTGCAGTTGTAAATAATAGGCTTGATTACATACTGTATGAAAATGTAGCTCATTGGAAAAAAGTTGTTTACCATTTTCTGTGTGTTTTTGCATGAAATATAGCAAATTGCTTTGAACTCCCTTTAGATGTAATTAACCAACTTAGGTAGTGAGGTAATGAATCATTTTCAATTATTTTTTCAGTAGTTTTATTTTTGTTTTACAAAATATAGGCACAATCTGGTCTTAAGATGATCTTATAGTATTAATTTTTGACTAACCCTTCTTTTATCATCAGACATTAACGAATGCCTTCAAGGCCATGGTCCTTGTGCCACAGGAGCAGTTTGCACCAATTTACCAGGCAACTACAAGTGTTCTTGCCTATCTGACCTAACTGGAGATCCCTATTCTGATGGATGTGAGTTTTTGTTTAATTAAATATTTAATGTAACTATACTACTATCATTCATTGTTTTTTATTACTTTCTAGTTATTACTAGTTCCTTATAATTCAATGACATTTTTTTCTATTATTTAATTGTATTAATCACAGTTTTAAATGTAAAAGTAGAAAATTTATTTTATTTGTAGCTGCTATATAAAAGTTATTGTTGAGAAAATACTAAGATTTAACTTCTTTGTAAGCATACACACAATATGGTTTCAATAACAGTATTTAATCTGAGAATAATGTATTATGACATTCACAGACCTCGGTTATAAATCTGTTTAGAAACATTTACCTTATGATATTCAATCAACTTTTGTGCCCAAAAAGAAAGCAGTTATTGTATTCTTTAGACTATGACTTTTAAAAAATTAAGATCAGAATTAACTAGCACATAATTATATTTCAACTTTAATTTAAAATTAATGGTGTTGAATATAAGCCAATCTGTATTTAAAGGGTAGTTTAGTCAGTTTTTTATTTTTCAAATGTAACAAATGTTGAAAACTTTATTTTTAATTTAATTAGCAGTGTTGGTATACTAATGCTCAGAAGTTATTAATAGTAAATGCACAAGAACAAAGTTGATAGTATTGTATTTGCAAGCTCATCAACTACAAGAATCAGTTAATTTTAGTAGTTACATATGAGTTTAAATTTTTAACAACATTGTTTACTCTCTTTATTAATATACTGAAGAAATATAACATTTCAGTCTTAGAAGTGTTTAAAATTGTTTTCCCTTATAAATTTTTGTAGGCCATCCTGTTGTCACTAAATGCCATCGAGACACAGACTGTAAGTCAAATGAAGCTTGTAATAGGGAAACAGAAGCTTGCTATGGTAAGTTTATTTATCCTCTTTAATGATTCTAATAAAGTTAGCCTATCTTCCATCTGTCATTTTAATCTTAAATATGCTATGCATTGAAACACTTATTTTCCATAAGTAAGGTCATTGTGGATACTTAAAATTTTGTATTTTTTCAAGACTGGCATCATTGCATGGTATTTACATTCAGAGATTTAGTACAAGGTTTATATGAAAATGTTGGTTTTATAATATTTTAAATATTCAGTTAACCCTTTAACCCCTTTAAACACTTTTCTGCTTAAGTCACCGTGTTACATTGAACATTTAATTAAACACCTTTACTGTCAATTTATGTGAATTACATTAATATTATAATGTATTTTATGATTCAAAGTTTTATTTTATGTAAGTTTTAAGTCCTTTATTTTAAAAGAAACCTTTAAAAACTACTTAAAATTTCAGATGTATTGTCATGTGACCAATGAGCTATGAAAATTCTCTACTTTGGCATGCTTTAACTTCAATAATGCAATGGCAGTTATGTAGATGTATGTCTAGACTATAAGATGCTTATATGACTTTTTGACTCATACACTTCAAAGGTCTCTGATTGAATGCAGTTGAAACAAGTAATAAATTTTTTCAACCCCTGACAGGTGTCACACCCACCTTCAACAGACTTGTTTGAGCTTTGTAGCCTACATGTAGATGTTACATACACGTGTTATAGTCATTAGAAAGAGCTCATTTTACACTATAATCTAACAACCATTATTTTGGTATGCAGTGTCTTCATGAAGTACATGTAACTGACTGTACAATCGTTGGCTGCTTGATCAACTATAGCACTTATGGTTGTTTCTTACCTAAATATGTTATAGTTAGAGATACAGTTTAAATTGTATTAAGGTCTTACTATTCTTACTATTATATTTTAGTTAATTTTGTATTAGTTATATTTTAAAATGTATAATTAAAAGGTTTAAACATTTTTTAAATATACATCATACCTTGTGTCGGTTTTCAAGGCTTATGATATTATGTGGTGCACAAAAATTTTCCGAATGGTTGCAACTGTCTGCCAGGGACACTGTAATATTCCTTGAGGGCACCATTGACTTGTGTCGAGATGAATAATAACTGATAAAGAACAAGAAAAGAAAACATTAAAAATTAACTATGTGTGAAATGGAAAAGACCTGAAATTATGAATTTAACAAAAGGAAAAATCTTTAAAGATATTTTACAAAAAATTAAAAGGTATGTATTTTTTTCTATTTTCTAATTTTAATTATTTCATTGAATTGTACGTTGATGATAATAGCTTGAGTTAGTAATATGGTAGAGAAAATGAAAAATAAAGTATAAACATTTACCCTAAAAAACTTTTGATATTCATTTAGGAGGTTCTAGAGGCTATGCAAATGAAATATGAAACTATAAGATGAAGAGAAACATTTTTATACTTAAAATGAAAATCATCTTGCACTATTTTAACACTTTGAGTGCAAATAACTACTACAGATATATAACATTTTTAGAAGAAATATGTAATTAAAATAATGTAATTCTTTGTGTACAAAATGCTTATAAACTTTAACAAAATCTTACAAGATTTTGTGAGGAATGCTCAGAGTTACCGTATGTTTTTTGTATAAATGTATTTCCTCAGTTGAAGTGATACAAACTGCATCAGCCTGTGGCGAAAGGATTAATCTGTATTTATTTTTAAATTCAGATATTGTATGTAAACCAGTGTATTTGGTAGCAAGTATTACATCTAATCTGTATCTATTAGGTCTTTAAGAAATTAATGTCGTGTTTTGGAAAACTTTCATTAACCACCCCCCAAAAAACGTACATCACTTATAATAGTTAAATGAACAGCCTAAACGTCACATTAGTGTAAAGTTTAGTATAATCTAATCCCTTATATTGATGGCACATGATGAGACACATTCGGCATGTAATGCTGTTTGAATACAAGAAGAGAAACAACGTCTCTGTAGCCACATAGAATATCAAAGAAGTTTATGGAAATGTTTTGAACCTTTGTAAATGTCAATAATGGTTCAACAAATTTCGTTCAGGTGACTTTAGCTTTAAAAACTGTGATTGCAGGGGTGACATGTTGGAATTGATATTGATGTTCTGAAGGCACTTGTTGATTCTAACCCAAGGCAACATACTCGTGAAATGGCCCTGCAATTGCATGTCTCTCATCAAACAATACGTAAGCATCTAAGGAATATGGTAAACTCCATAAAGAAGGTGTCTGGGTGCCTAATGAACTCTCCGATGATCATTGTTTCTAACGTGTGAACATTGCTTCGTCTCCTCTGGCGCGTAATGTGCGTGAACCATTTCTGGACAGAATTGTCACCAGTGATGAAAAATGGAATTTCTATGCAAATATTAAATGCCAAAAACAATGGCTCAGTCCTAGACAAAACCACTTTTGACCCCAAAACCTGTACTCCATCCGCAGAAAGTGATGCTTTGCATTTGGTGGGATATCAAAGGAGTAATTCATTTCGAACTCCTCAGTCTACAGCAAACTGTCAACACAGAGATCTATAGACAGGAACTAGAATGTTTAAATCAAGCTCTTCATCAGAAACGCCCTTCTCTTGTCAATCGAATAGGTGTTCTTCTTCTCCATGACAATGCATGTCCACATGTGGCATGTTTGACGAAACACAATATTATGGAGTTAGGTTGGGAAGTTCTCCCTCCACCCACCATATTTTCCAGATATGGCACCATCAAATTACCATCTTTTTCATTCACTACAACACCATTTTAATGGGAAAACGTCTGCAAATGTGGAAGTTGTTAAATAGGACATAAGTATTTTTTTGCTTCAAATCCAAGTGATTTCTTTAATCAGTGCATCAACAACCAGATTGTAAAATGGAAAAGCATCATCGATAAGAATAGAGTCTATTTCATATAATAAATGTTTTGTTTTGATATATAAGTTATTTGGTTTTTTTTTATCTAAAAAAGCAACATTAATTTATTGACGACCTAATATAACCATTAATTGATTATACGATTTGTGTTTTAGTGATTTTTTCACAAATGTCTCTTTCACAGATTTATGCTCAGAGTCAGACATCTGTGGAAAAAGGGCAAAGTGTAAGGCCATCAATCATCAAGTAGAGTGTCATTGTGGTATTGGTCTTACAGGAAACCCTAACTTGGAGTGCAGCGAAAGTAAGTTACATGAAATGTTTTGGTTCATTTTGAAAGTATGTATATATATTAAAGTATGTGTAAGTATGTAAAAAGACTGTCAGAGTTTAAAATTGTCTACAGAATAAGTATGTTTAGGTGAAAACATGCCTAGAACAAAAATAATGAGCCTAACCTGTAAATTATATATATACATAATATTGTGTGCAAAAATAGGGAAATAAATTTTTGGCATTAGTACAGGTACAAAAGTAATTTGTTTTTTTCATATTCAGAGCATTGTTTAAAAGTACAAAAGATAAGCTCAATTATTAAATCCCTAAATATTAATATTAATAAGTAAGATAATTCACATGTTTAAGATAATATTTAATTAAATGAACATGATTTCTAGTACAAACCTGTGTCCGTCATGAAGAATGTCTTGGCAACCTTCACTGCATGGGAAAGCGATGTAACTGTCCTCGTCCTTTTAAACAAGAAGGATTTTTCTGTGTTTGTAAGTCGCTCTCTCTCTTTTCCTATATTTTATAGAAAGTTACACTAATACAACAGTCTGATGAAATACATTAAAAATTAGCTTGAAATTGTTTTGTCAGTTTACACGACCTCTTTTTTTCATAAGTGATTGAAGCTTTAATATGAAAATATATTTTCTCTAGACATTGTTTACTTACATTTATCTTTGTAGAAAGGGATTCATTTTTGATGTTTTTCTCTACTTATACCTCTTGTATTACATATCTCCATGAAAATTTTATGGTGTGATCTTATTTATAAAAGCCAATGCACTTTGAATAAACATCACTGAATTATTAGTTTCAGAAGTGAATGTGAAATTTGGTTGTCAGAATGCTAATGGAAAACGTGTATAGCTTTTGAAACCCAGAAAAGACTGACCTGAAAAAAGGCCATAAAGCCATTGGTACTAACTATTCTATCTTGAGTTTTTATATTACAAGTTTAAATTAGATAGTCCTTAGGATGTGCAATTGACAGGATAAGGATTAATGATTGTAAACAATGCACATAATAGTTTGAAATCCTCTGGACATCTTGTGACACAGCAGATTCAAAGAGTCACAAAGAGTGCTTAAACAGAATAGTTTTTACCTAGAGATGTCATGCAGCTAAAGTAAATTTGTTATCAATGGTGGGTTAATGGTAATACAAATAATAATAAATGAGATTCCTTTTACTTTTCATATGATTATGTTTCTGCTGTTACTTTGAGTAACTTATTGGTTTCAATACAGACAAATGATTTGAACATACTTAATCAAGTGTTTATACTAGGTGTGAGATTGTTCAAACAGTTTATGGAAAAACTACATTTTTTAGTGTTAATTTAGATTTTAAAATTAAAGAAGTGCTGCTAAACTAATTATTTTGATCGTAAGCAAATACTCTGTAAATAGACATATGCCTGTAATATGGAGAATATACAAACATTTTCAGATTTACTATTGGTTTTATATAAGGTTTCCTAAGACATTTCTTTCATTTTTCAAGAAGAAATAATTAATTTCAGAGCTATAAAAGTGTATGAATCTCATATTCATATTTTAATCCGTATATCTATCATTATCAAAATCAATTGCATTAGAAAAATATCTTTTTGTTTAATCTAGAGTTGAACCATCAACTACACATCACTTTTTAACTCATGTAAAAATTCCTTTAAAAGCAACTGGCTAAGATAGCATTTTATTTCTAACATGTTTCTACTCAAAATGAAATTATCCAAGCTTGTTTGAAAAGAGAATAAACATTATTGCCTGGATAAAAGCAGTATCATAATAATTAACAAAACTGCATTTGTTAATCTTTTTTTGGTGATGCATTCTGTTTTTATGTTTTTACAGTATCAAGCCGTAATTGTTCAACTACAAACCCCTGTCCAGAAAACCAAGAATGTATTTATACAGGTGTTCAAAATAGTCTATGTGTTTGTCCACGAGGTTTTGTGATGATGCCAAATGGGATTTGTAGAGGTAGGCAAAATTTGTTATTTGAGGCTATACAAAAATGTCAAAATATTCTTTTTATTCAAATAGATGTGGAGCAGATACAAAAGTTATTATTTGTTACCTAAAACACATGTAATATATTTTGATATCAGACACTGTTGGTATCAGAAAGTTCTTTTCATTGGTCAGTTTAGTAGATTTACTAAGTTATGTAACACTTAACTAAAAAATCAATGAAGAGAAGCGGTATAAGTTCTGGAGATAGGTAGATAGTATGCATTTGTTTATGTATCTTATACAGTTCTGTAATATCTATAAGCTTGTGATGTTAAATGTACACTATTGCAAATACATGAATACCAGTAAATATAATTTGGTGTATTTATGCACTTTCTAAATACTAATCATATTCATTTGTCATAATAGTTTCATTAAGAAAAGGTAATTATTATCAGGTTATGAATATGATTTTGCATTATTAACACTATGTTGGAATTTTTTAGCTAACTTCAGTCTCCTAATCTTACTGAACTTTATGAAATATTATTTCAGTTAGGGTTGAATATAATATGAAAGTTAAAGTACACATTAATGATTCAGGGCAATCTAATCACATTATAGCTTTTAAGTTTATAATATTGTTTGGTATACTGGAATGTCATAATGTATAGCTTATTTGAAAACTATTTTAGTTCTGAACTACAAAACTTTTGATCAGAAGCTCTTACCAATTAAGAATGTTACAATAGTGTTTGTTTGATGTACATTGGTTTATGTAAATTATTATTATTAATGTACCTGTAATAAAAGCTTATTATACGATAAAAGATCTCTCACTTATTCTTTTCTAAAGATCTAAATGAATGTGACCAAGTCCCATTCCCATGTGGACAAGGAGCCCAGTGTTTCAACAGTGAAGGTAGCTACATATGTAAATGTCCATGGGGAACAGTTGGTGAACCAAACTTTGGAGGATGTAAGTTATTAAACCTTTTCATGTTTTTCTTTGGCTTATTAATATGTATTATATAATCAAATCCATTTTATTAAGGTGTGTTTTTAAACATAATATATTAACACGTATATCCAGTACCTAATCTTGCATTAAAAATAATTTGCCCCCAATGGCACAGCAGTATGTCTGCGGACTTACAACGCTAGAAACTGGGTTTTGATACCCATGGTGGGCAGAGCACAGATAGCCCATTGTGTAGTTTGTGCTTAACTTCACACAACAACAACAAAAATAATTTAAAATATATATTTCCAATACAATAATCAACTTTAGATTTCCACAAAAAATGCATTTAAACAAGACACTTTAATATTTTAGCCTCAAGTCATGGTTTTGATACTTCCTCTGCTAAAGTCTCGGCCACTTGTAGAATGTTTCTTTCACTTTAGTTTCCCCAGATGAAAATATAAAGTTATTTACTAATGAGCAAATAAAAATCCACAAAGAAGCAGAAACACTTAAAGAAAAAGGTTTTAAAGGATTAGTTAATTTTACTCCCTGTCTCAAACAATAAACTTAAATCTTATCTTATTAATGGCATGGTTTTCTCAGGTAAAAAGGAAAAAAACAGCTAAATATTAAGATGTGGACTAAGTTTTCTATGACTTTTGCCAGTTTTCTTGGTATCAATATAATGCTTCTGACTCCATTCTGAACCCTTCATCATGTCTGTATTTTGTACAATAAGGTAGCAGTTACAACCCTGAAAGAGGACTTCAACTGTGATGAATTTAATTGTTCATGAGGCAGGTTGTTATTTTTTCAACTTTATGTAGGGTGTTGTTTAAGATATTGTTAGTGTTTAAGCCTTAATCTAAATTGATTCGTTGTTGTTTATCATAGTTAAACTGTTGGTCTATTCATAAAATCAATCTTCAAGTGGAAAATGGATTGTACTTGGGAAATGAGAACTAAACTCCATAATGGAATCAACAGTGAGGTTGGTTCAAAGATTTAACTTAAGGTCTGTATCTAATTTTTGTCTGTTGACTGGGAGCAAATCAAGAACTGGTATACAGAAATACATGTTGCTGATATTGCAACTGATAAGAATGTTGTTGGGTTGGATAAAAACAATTTTTTTTTTTTAGTCCTGGGGCAATAAAAAGTTGTAGCATTTCTCACTTGAAAACTGCTGGTACCTCAGAGAGAGAAGTTACTGTAAAAACAAGGTAACTAGCTAGCTGGTGCCACACAATGGAATATTATACTTGTGTATTTTGGTTGGCTGTAGAGATGTGAAGATCTACATTCACTATCTGATTGGAGGTTTTATTATCTTCAGAAATCTAAAAGTTTTCAAGTTTGTCAGTAATGTCCTGTTGAAGCTTTTGGTATTTTTTTGTCTTCAGATATAAGCTTTATCTTTTCAGAGTAATCATTTTGGTGCATTAACACAGTTTGGTTTCATTTTTTAGCTGATATGATTACGATGCTGGGGTCTTTAATTTTTTTCAAAGCTTTGAAAGCTACCATTTTATTGCTTATAATATTTTGTTCATAAACCTTGTATTGATAACGTGAGCTGCGAAAACAATTCCGTATAAAAAAATAAGTGCTTAATCTCCAAATAAGAGAAGGATTGTGTCTGTACTGCACTTTCAAGTCAGAACAGGGTCCTTGTTTGGTATTGCACAGTTCTCATTATATATATTCAAAGTGAGATTGCCTCCCAGCTCAAACAAACTTGTATAAGCCTTTGTACTACCTCTTCATTTGGGTAAGATTTACACCTCAAAGAACAAATAACACACAAGCATATTGAAGTGAGTACACACTCTATAGAATGGTCATTGTTTCATGTAATCTTAGTCCAAGACAAAGAATAATACGAAACTATGACCACTTACATTCTCTTCAGAAAGGAGGCATGGAAAAGGTGAAATAAAAATCTTTGATAAAGATATATTATTTTCTAGTTATAGAAAGGTAAATCTGCTAACTGCCATAAACAAATATCATTCCAATAAGGTACTCTCCCTCCACTCAAGATTAGCTGTTCTTGTTTTGTGCTGCCCTCTATATGCGAACTTTTCTAGAAACGCATGCCACAAGCCTTCATCCTCCCTCTGTTGGAATTCAAAGTTCCAACATGTCTCTCATGCAAATCCTCATGCGTCACCTCTCCACAAATAGGAGAGCACTACTATCATGTGACACATGTGACTCCCTCTACGCGCCACTACCGAACTATCATTTCTCATTTGCAGCTATTGAGTTCAGACGTTCTTTTTTACATTGTTCACTTACCTTCGAGTGGTTAATTTTTTTTCATTTTGCATATTTTTCTTAACTTTATTTACTACACTTCACAGTTGTGTAGTTATTATATTAATAAAGTATTACTTCCTCATGTTTCCTGCTTATAAATTCCAAAGTTACAGTCACCACTTTGGATACTTCGCCAGCGTCTGATGCCGTATTTTTGGGCACGGCGTGGGCAACACTCTCTCACTTCAAAAATGGTTTGTTTGTTGTTCGAACCTCTTGGCCCATGATGCAGTTTTGGTGCAGACCTGTCTCTAGGCTCCATATCTAAGGGACCTCTGCATGGTGCCGTTTTTGTGGCATTATGTGTTTAACTCAATTCCTGGGTCTTTGGAGTTGCAGTTGGCCTCGGCCTATGGACATTCTACCTTTACTAACTTGGTAGCTCATTTGTTGCAGGTGGGGCCTATCCCCCAACCTTCCTCTTCCTGTCCCACCCTCCCTCTGTGCCATGGTATGACGACTTATTCAACGATGCATGATCCACCAACAGCAGTACCAGTGACTATATGGTCGGTTCAGGCCCAGTGGGGGCTCGTCATTTGAACTTCGTTCATCTGTGGGGGCCCTTTCTCACTGATGTCTTGGTTCACAAGATGCTCTTGGTTTGATACATTATCCCCTTTCTCTCCCTTCCTCCGTTATCCAGTGTTCCCATTCCCTTCTCCTCGGAATCCCTCGACATGCCAGTGTCTGTGAGAGGTGGTTCAGAACCTCATCGCACAACAGGCTATCGAAACAGCTCCACCAGATTCACAGGGGTTTTAATCCAACCTGTTTATGGCTCCAAAAGAGATTGTGGACTGGTTTCCTGTCATTGATTTATCCAATCTCAATCAGTACATTCACACTCCTTGCTTTACTATGGAGACATACCTTTCTCTTTGGTGGGCATTTCTCCAGGTTTTGGATGATCAATATGGACATTTCCAATGCTTACCTACACATTCCTATGGTAGAGCATTCCTGTTCATATTGGGGGTTTGTGTACCAGTTTCAGCCTAGCCTTAGCACCATAAGTTTTTCTCGTGGGGTTGCGCTTCCATGTTTATACAGACGAATGGCTTTTTCTTGCTCATTCTGAACGGGAATTGGCCTGTCACACTCGTCAGCTCCTGGCTGCAGCTGCACAGATGGGCTGGTTGGTCAAATTGGAGAAGTATTTCCTTTGTCCTACCAATACCTTATCCATTTGGGTGTTTTCTTCAACATCCACCTCAGTCGGACCTACCCTTCTTTCCGGCTCCATTCTATGGAATGGGCCATTCAGAAAGCCCTGTCTGTTCCCTCACTTACAGCTTGTGAGGTTCTATTGTTTCTGGAGATGAGGTCCTCCATGACCCTTCTCATACCCCTGGGCAGGGCCCATATGGTTCCACTTCTTCCTCTGCAGCTTGATTTACATCTTTTCACAGATGCACCCTTTCAAGGCTGGGGTGCCTGGGTGGATCACCAGGAGGTTTCAGGTCATTGGTCTGTGGGAGAGAGTTCTCTTCACATCAGTGTTCTCGAACTTCTGGCTGTTCATCTGGCTTTGAATTAATTTCTTTCTTTTGCCAGTCGCTGACTGGTTATGATTCATTCTAATAATTCTACCATGGTGGCATATATCAATCACCAAGGTGCACCAGGTCCATATCCCTATGTTCTTGCACTATGGATCTTCTTTATTGGGCCCACGTACATCACATTCATTTGATGGCATGTCATGTACCTGGTGCTTTCAATCTCGTAGCTGATCGTCTTTCCTGACTGGATCGATTTTTTTTTTCCCACAGAGTAGTCTCAGTATCCTGCCATTTATCTGTGGCTCTGTCTGCACCTGGGTACACCCCATATCGATGTCTTTGCCATAACCCTCAATCACAAGTTTTGGTTCCCAGTCCCCCATCCTCGAGCCTTGGCTGTCTCATCTGTTCCTTTATGTTTACACTCCCATCCGTTTACTCCATTGGGTGGTCTCCCTCATCCATGCCATTCCATGCTTAGTTCTTCTGATTGCTCCTGGTTTCCTCAGTTGCTCTAACTGCAGATGACCCTCCCCTTTTTCTTCCCCTCTGTCCCAACCTGGTCTGTCAACCCCATTCACCAGCACTCCATCCTGCACTATCCATTCTTTATCTTCAAGCCTGGCTTTTGTCAGGTTCTTGGCAAGGAGTTCTGGTTTCTCTTGCAGAGTAGCTTCACATGTAGCCTGTTCCATTTGCCCTTCATCTTTGGGTGTCTATCAAAGCAAATGGAGCATTTATTGCTCCTGGGCATTGACTCAGGTTTCTGGGCTTCTCGCTTAACAGTTGCCTGTATCTCCAATTTCTCACATGGCTCTTTGAGAGGGGTTCTTTGGTCTCCTTGATTTCAGGGTTTTGGGCGGCATTATACCATACATTTCGTTTTTCTCGCTTGCATAGGGTCTTTGCTTCTCCTGTCCTTTCCATGTTGATAAATTACTTCTGGCTCCATCAGCCACAGAGGCATCTGTCACTCCTATACTGGGACATTAACGTGGCCCTTCATGCTCTCACATTACCTCCGTTCGACCCTCTGTCTATGTGTTCCCTGTTTCACCTCTCTTTGCAGGCATATTTTCTCTTATGCCTGGCCTGCAGGCATCATAGGTTAGATATTTTCACTCTCATTGTTACCAGGACCTTGAACCACTCCTCCTACCTTATCCTTTATCCAGATCATTGTTTCTTTTCCAAGACCTCTGCAGCTCAAGAAGGTCAGTCCTCTTTTTCCCCCTATCTGCCTATCCTCTATATTTCATCTCTACCCTCATCCTGATCTGGATAGAATCCTCTGTCCTGTCTGTGCCCTCTGTTGTTATATTGCTTGCATGGCTTCCTTCCGGGGTCCTCATTCCCACCCTTTTATCCATTGGCAACCTTCCATGATCTTTTTCCAGTTACCCTGACCAATTGGGTTCGATGTTTGATCCAGATTTTCCTATTCTTCCTTGTCTCCTTCACAGCGTGATCTTTTTCATGTTTCCACACATCAAATCTGTCACCTTACCTTCTCCCTTGCCTCTCATCTTCACCGGCCATTGGAAGAAATTCTAAGATTAAACATAAGAATGACTCTGCACACTTTCATCTCTTACTACCTAGACCACATCACTGTTTCTGTTTCATTGGGGTATTGCCTGCCTCTTATGGCTATTTAAAGATTTCGGCTTGGCTGTGACATGAGGTAAGTACTAACTAATGCTTACTTTTCTTTCAGGGGTCCCTGCTTCAGCTTCAATTTGAATTCTGCCCTGTGGCAAGTAGTGCCTGACCAGGTATTCTGTCTGTACTCGGAATGAGTTCAACTTAGACATTCACCGACGTCTTGCTATCAAATCCACATTGTAAGCCATGTTGATTCTTATACATTTTCCATGGCTATGTACATTCACCCTTGAGATGGGGTGTTTCACAAGATCACTAGAGTGTAAATTCCATGTGATAATTGCATCATACTATACCTATTCCAGACTGTATCACCCATGGATTCCTGCCCTGCCTAGATTGAATAAATCAGTGTGGTCTGCTTTTAAACATAGGGTTTCGTGATCACCCATTGCACTGTCTCGGGTTTTGCAGTCCCTCCAGACTCTCCACTGCACTTTCCCCCCTTCCAGTTGAGTACAGGAGTCCTTACCACTTACCAGTTCCAAGCTGCTGGGTTGGTTGACCATGGAGGCAACCTGCTGGATGGGTTCCACAAAAATGGCTATAACCATTCAGTTCAATGTAGGGCAATGGTGTTCTGTAGAGGGAGTTACCGGATCCTCCAGATGAGTAACTTTTTCCCAGAGTTGAGATGCCCAAATGCAGTTCACCGCTCTGATTGGGTGCTCTCCTCCTACCCTTGTGTGGATTTTGGTACCCAGTGAGTGAGGTTTTGGAGATTTAGTGTACCAATCACATAATTTTTCACACAGGTTTCAGGTTGTCCATCTTCCCCTCTCGACTTATCTTCTGTGTTGCGGGTTTCTGCCTGTTTCTGTTTCTGTCCTGGGTTTTCCCTCATTGAGTGACAAGGTTGTCACCGACCTGGGGGTTGAGTACATGCAATGGACTTCCATTGGATTCCGGATGACACATTCCCAGATCCCTGCCATTAAGGCTACCCTGTGAGTTCCTGGTTAGGTTAGACTCTGGGACTTGAGGTGAAGAGGGTATGATCCTCATTCTACCCTCACGAGGATGTTGGTACCCAGCAAGTGGGGTTTTTGGATGTAGTTGACTTACCGAGTATGGTCTGTCATGCTGTAGCTACTCTAGACCATGGGACATATCCTCACTTGCCCACTTTCCATCGTGGGATTGAGTGGTTCCAATTTCTGTTTAAGATCACGTTGCTAAACTATCCTCTCCCACATGGATGTGCTTCCTTTAATGTTCTGCCATGTCTGGTCACACGTGTCGCATGATAGTAGTGATTTCCTATTGATGGAGAGGTGATGAATGATGATTTGCATAAGAGACGTGTTAGAACTTTGGACTCCAAAGATGGAGAATGAAGGCTTGTGGTATGCGTTTCTGAAAAAGTTCACATATAGAGGGCAACACAAAAGGAGAAAAGCTAATCTTGTGAGAGAAGGGAAATACCTATTGGAAATTCATTTTTATTTAGGAAAATTATAACTTTAGTCAAGATGTTTAAGTGCTTTGTTACAAATAATTTTTGTATCTGTTATATGCTTTTAACATTTGTATGAATTAACAAATATATGTATTTTTCTATGAAGTTGTACAGGATGAGGCAAAAATTAGTTGCTCCAGTTCACTTTACAATTATCAACATACTATCTGTTTTCCTATTTTTGCTGTAATTAACACAGAAAGTTAAATGCTCATTTTTATTACAAGTACTTAATATAATTAAACATGAGACAAGGTTGTAATTTATTACTTATATTTAGGAACAACTTAGGATTGTAAATAAGCTTTGGTTAAAATTACTAAGTGATATTATTTTTGCATAACAAAACAGAACAAACTGTTCGTGCCTATAACTTTTCAACTATTGTATCAAAATTTCATTCATATAAGGCTTTTAGGATTTCAGAAGTCAAGAATCATCTTGCAATAAATATAATTTAAAATTTTTAACTTTCATTTAATTTTTTTTAACAATATGAAAATGCTAACTTTAGGGTTTATCAAAATTACCAGTTTTTGCATTTATAATTTTATTTATATATTTCTTTCATATAAGTTTTGAAATTTTGTATATAATTTTTTTTAAACCTAAATATAAAGTTTGGTGCTAATTGGTATCTGCAGGTAAGACTCTAGAAGGTGATTGTCTAGTGGATGATGACTGTCCTTCCAATCAGGCTTGTGATGTCACCATCAGCAAGTGTCATGGTAAGAATAAGCAGTTTTAAATAATTGTAATAACATATTGTCAGAAAAAGAAAATGTTTACTCTCCACCTTTCTGTATGAAATCATAGTATTTTGTTTTATTGAGAGAAATTATTGTTAACATTATGTCAAAGCTTTAAACCAATAGAATATTACTTTAGAAAACAACATTATTTTATTGAAACCACAGATATACCATTCTGTAGTTTTGTACTTAACAACAAACAAATCCAATGAATCTGTGATGTTATAATATGTTTCTGGTTTGTGTGAATTGTTCTTTTTATCAGTTTCACCAAAGTAAAAAAATTAGTAGGAAGGTGTTAGGAATAACTGTTGATGGAGTTAAAGTGGTTGGAGATAAACAGAAACTAGTACTTTACTGGGAATAAACATGTATTGTAAAATATATCTGAGACCATTTGTAGTAATGGAATAAAAATCAAAGTACACATGATCAGTAGCTAAAAACATTACTACTGATATATAATGACATAGACAATACCTCGTAGCACATAAAAAAAAGAGAAATAAGATTTCCGGAATTTTGTGGTATTTCCCACCCAATGTAATAACCAATAAGTAGCTTCACACAGTATAAAGTAATGTTGATTACTATACGTCTATCACATAGGTGAGTCCTACCATTGAGGGCAACACTTAAGGCTGTTTTCAATCTGAACTAGAACTTTTCAAAAATCTAAGAAAATGTCACTAAATGTAAATACAAGTTGTATGAAAGTATGATATGTGAAATATGCATATCACAAAGTTAACAAAGAAAGCTAAAAAAATAAATTGTAGGTTATCAGAAATTATAATTGCATGCACTCTATAATCATTGTTAAACATTGCTTTACAAATTTTTGATGTGTAAATAGACTGACTGCTAGAAAATTGTTGTTTAAAATGGAATTACTAAACTATCATTCCTTTGTATTAAATAAAGATTATTACTATCCTGATGAATAAGCTTTAGGCAGTTGGATATGTAATGTGATGCCATACTTGTATTTTACTGAACTGGCATTAAATAACAAAAGACATTGAGCTATATAATGGTATTTAAGTTTTTAAGCCAAAAGGAAACAGGAGCCAGAAATGAGTCTGCCTCTTCCAATATTAAAAAAGCAACTCATTATGAATTGAAATTGATTAAAAAATCCTTGTAATAAGTACCATATTTGCATTCATTTTAATACTGCTTGTTTAATCAATGACACCATTTCTCAGCTACTTTACATTTAGCTAAGTACTGACAATAACTTTTACATGAAGAATATTTTCTATATAGTTGATTTTTTTTATATATACATGAATTAGAATGGAAAAATGTTTTCATTGAAGAATAATATAAGTTTTGTTTTCTTTATTTATTTCCAGATCCTTGTCTGGTGGAAAGTGTGTGTGGTTTGAATGCCCATTGTGAAGTAAACAATCATAGTCCTTACTGCTTATGTCCACCAGGATATACTGGAAATCCAAACTCCAATTGTCACAGAAGTGAGTACAAAAGTAATACTTTTATCAAATATAAAATTTCACTGGAACTCTTGAATATTATAGTATCCCACTTACTTGACATTTTATATTTATGGTAACTGTTGAAACTTTGATACTTTAATGAGCATGGTACATTGATAGTAATTGTTTAACGTAGAACATTTAACTAACTTAGAACTGAATGTCTAGTTTTAGAAATCTTTTACACCAAAAAAAAAGTTACTAAATCATCACACTGTATTGTTACTTAATTATTAATTATTTACTTTGGTTTGCTCTTTCTCCTTCTTCATCATTCCACAGTCCATGGTTGCCAGACAACAGAACATTGCCCAGGAAATTTAATTTGTTTACCAAATAAGCTTTGTGGCTGCACTGGAGAGCTCAGTAGGATATTTGACTTCTGCATTTGTAAGTCTTGTCATTAAGTAGTTTCCTAATATACTAGAAGATGATGCAATTTCATTGAGTGAACAGTTTATATTTTGTGCAGTTATATTAATAGACAGATAACATGATTACATGTCAAAAAATAAGTTAACTGCAGTTGTTTGTTTTCCACATTCCTCTTCATTTATCCATAATGGCTCAAAATCACAAGTGTGTAAAAGTAGTATTTCAGATCTATCTTTTATTTCCCAAGTGTCACTGCCCAAGAAGCTTTTCATTAAATACCAGAACTCTTTAGTTATGCTGGATGATGAGAGACTAAAAACTGTATAAAATGGTATTTATGTATACAGTATAATACTTTAAAAGTTATGGTTTAAATTCCAAAAGCTGACTTTCAGCATTTAAATATTAAAAAGTGCATTAGAATTTTTTTTGTTGCTTTTAGTGACTGACAGGAATTGTACCACCACCAGCCCCTGTCTGGACAACCAAGAATGTGTATACACTGAAACCAGTACAGGGTTTTGTATATGCCCACGAGGATTTTCACTTCACTCAGATGGCTCCTGTTTAGGTGAGAGACAAGTCAGCTTCTGTCATAAACAGAAAAAAAGTTGATGAGTAACATATAATTTTTTATGTGATTATGATGTGCATAGTAGAGATTACTACAATAGAAACTAGTGATATATTCATGTGACGCTGTACTTGATCAGTGACATCAGAATGTTTCTTGCATTAATTTGTTTTTAATAGCATGTTTTCTCTTTTCACTCAAATTATTTTTGTTTTACATGTACCTGCTCTTGATGTTTTAGTTATTTGTTTTTATCTAACATATTATAATTTCTCTTCTCTATGATAAATCAATTATTATAATTACTTGTAGTAGCTTATAAAATAAACTGCTTGCAAAGTTGTGTTTCAAGTTTTAAACTTCTACCTAGGCTTCAGACTTAATTATACATGTTTTTAAATTTTGTGTCATCCGTAATATATTTATTAATCATTATTAAATAAACTAGTACTTTTGTTTTTTACTTGTTTTGTAATCCTAATTTCTCCTTTGTTAGATATCAATGAATGTGTGGAACAGCCACAGCGACCTTGCAGCATTGGCGAGTACTGCAGAAACACACTAGGGGGTTATGAATGTCGCTGTCCTGATGGTTTCCGAGGTGATCCTTATGATGGTCAATGTCTCAGGTTGAATGATGGAAGTGGATGCCAGTTTGACAGTGACTGTCTGCATAGTGAAGTTTGTGATACATCCAGTAACACTTGTTACAGTAAGTCAAGAGACAAACATTGTATTATTCTTTATTTATTTTAATTAAACTTCTCTTTCACTTAATTAACTTAATAGCACATATCTCCTTGCTTTATTGTTACAGAGATTAGTTTTCCAAAGACATATGTTTCATTTGCAAGACCAATTCTTCTGCCCAAAGTCTAATGAAAGAAAGTACACCATGAATTTGACCTACCTTGGCAGTTGAACAACATTCTGAGCTTCTGTGATAATTTGTTGTTGTTTTTCTAACTGAATAATCAACTGAAGATTATGCATTTAAATGGTTAGTTGAAATAAGCAAAAACATTTTTGGTAATATTTTTCAGATCCATGTGGACAAGATCAAATGTGTGGACAGAATGCTATCTGTAAAATAGAGAATCATAAACCTGTCTGTTACTGCCCTCCTGAATACAGTGGAAATCCATTGACATTTTGTTTTAAGGGTAGGATAAAATTTTGAATGAGTATTGTCTTTTGTATATAAAAAGTCTTAAATGAAAAGTTTTAGCATACAGTTGTAAACGTATTAGAAATGAAGGCTAGTAATGCACATTGTCTTGATACTGGTGCACATGAAACAATTTATTCAGCACATAGATTGAAAAAATTAGAAAGAACATTGCTGGGCAACATGGCAAAAGTCTAAGAGATTAGATTCTCATTCTTTAACATGCATTAACTGTAGTACTCCAGTGCAAACTTGCTATTAGAAATAAAAAAAATATCTACCTATCACACATAAAAGAACAAATTCAAACAATAAAAACTTGCACAGTCTTATCTCAACACTGTATGTTACCATTTTTACTTCAAACATTTTAAGTTCTGCTGTTAATCAATCATGTTGATACTGTTACTCAAACTAAGCATAAAGAGATTGCCAGAAACATATTTTAAGCTTTTAGCTAGTATTTCAAAAATTGTTTTTGTTTTAAATGATAAACATAATAAATAACCTATTATTGTGTTTACTTTTCTACGTATTAGTATAACTAGATAAAAATTATCAAATAACAATTAGTGAAGTTCATTTTGTGTATTACAAAAACCATGTTTCCAGTTACAAGAATAATGAGTTGAAGAAATATCAAGTTGTATAATAAATTATACTTCAGAATCAAACGATGTGTAGAATCACATACCTTTTAAAATCCTTAAAAATAAATTGTATTTTTCAATAAATGTTAAAACTGTAAAAAGAATATAATACGTATATCTGGTATTAAGAATCAAACATAAAAGTTATATGAATTGGAATTATGAGTAACTTCACAAAAATGAAATTGTATTTCTTTCTTTCAGTCATTCAGTGTGGAGTGGATTACAACTGCCCAGGTAATCAAGTATGTCTTGACACCAAGACCTGTGGTTGTCCATCCCAGTTCCAAAGGAGGGGAGACTATTGCTTATGTAAGGAGCTTTTTATCATTAGTTTATTAAAAGTCTTTTGGATAGTTGAAAAGCACAGAAAAATTGCATTCTGCAGACAACTTGAAAGTAATAGTTGTAGTAGACTGACTTATTTTAATTTTGTGTTTATTTGTTATTAAGCACAAAGCTGCACAGCAGGTTATCCATGCTTTGCTCACCACAGGGATCAAACCCTGAATTTTAGTGTAAGCCCTCATGCTTATTACTGAGACACTGGGGGATGAGGTATTCTAATTAGTGGTTTCAACTAGCAGAGGGAATGATGTGATTTTTTACAATATAACAGGGTTTGTATTTAAACTTAATGCATTGATTTGTTTGTGATCACTAAAAAAAGGATTTTATCTGTGTAATAATTTGAATAGGAACATTTATGAAGTTCCTATTCTAATTAAATTCATTATATTTTGTAGAATTCAGCAGAATGTTTACCTTGCTGAATTGTTGCATCAACCAAACCTACGAATTTGTAACAAAAAATATGGATTTACTAATGTACATAAACGTCTGTTAATAACTACCTGGGTGAGTTTTATAGAAATATATTGAGCCAACAAAAAGGAAGTCTTATCTTGTTGATATCTACAACATTTAATTCATGTTTTTATCTGTTTCTGAAGTGACAAGAAGAAACTGTACCACATCCAACCCTTGCCTTTCAAATGAGGAATGTGTCTATGTGGGATCTCATCGAGGCTTCTGTGTGTGTCCTCGAGGTTTCAAAATTATGCCAAATGGAAGTTGTCAAGGTAAGAGTTAATTTTTTTGCTTTTGTGAACATTTTATGTTAAAAAAAGGTGAGCTATTAGCTTTGAAAATTGCCACTTTTTTATTAAATATTATTGTGGCTATAATAATAATAATAATAACCCTTATTCCTTTTAAATTCATGCTGTAAAGTGGTAGGAATTACAAAACATTTTTATCTGCAGTTTTAAAGATGCAATAACATTCTGTTGCTAGTGATTTATGGTGGTAATAAAAGCTGTAAATCTATATATATATGCTTTAGAGTAAGCATATTAAATTATCTAAAATATTTTAACCTGTCTCTTAAGAATTTTAGAAATAAATCTCTGTAAAACCAGGTAATTATTTTGCTGTTGTTAGTGGCTCCTATTTTTCTTTGAAATTACTAGCCTTTCATATGCAAATTGATTTATCCAAATTTTGTAAAAAAGCTTAGAGTGAAATACTTAGTTTCGTATATTTTTCTTAGGCTTTCTCCCGGGGCCCTCCCATAAAATAATAGTTTACATATCTTTTGGCTAATTAATTAACCTTAGAATTACCTGGACAGCATTGACTTTGTAAGACACATTTTCTAAATTATTTATGTACAAAATTTCTTATGGGTTAATGAGTTTATTGATTAAAGTAGCTCTAATAACATATGAGTCACAAAAAAAAAGTTAAATAGAAGTACCATCAATATTAGAATTTCTTCCACTAATTAGGCTGTGGTCCATAATATATTTTAAAAAGGAAATGAGTGATTTCACTCAATGTCTTTGGTGAGTTTTTTACATTGAGTATTTTAACAGACATACATTTAATTACAGTATGAGATTGATTATGTGGACCCCACCAATAATGAGCAGTATAAAAAGAAGTTGGCAATTTAAGGGTTGAAAACTCATTGAAATATTACCTACACCATCAATAGGCATTATACAGATTATTATTATTTGATCAGAAGGTAGACAAACAAAACCTGCATAAAGTAGTGGCTATTTTGACATGGAAACTTGCAAACTTTTTGTCACGGATAAACCATATGTTTGAGAGCTTGTGTTTTCCCAAAGTGTTATCAAAAAGCTACTAGAAGAGAAACAACCTATGATTTATTTATAAGACAATTATGATATTTAATTTTTTATACTAACAGAACAATGTAGAGGTTTCCAAACTTTTTACCTTGATTGAGACCCCAAGAACTTAGACAAAGTGGCTGAGAACCCCATCCAGCTAGTACTTTTATAAATATTTTAAATAATAACAAGTTGGAGATACATTATTTTCATTGCACTTTGCTCTTTAACCAACATCAAGCATAAACAACGTTGTGCAATCATATTTAGTGCTCTAAGTGGGATTCTTGCTGAAAATATTTCATTGTTCAGTATCAGAGGAGTTTTAAATAGATTATTTTAACATGGGCTCACTCCCCCTCTTCTCTGTGACCATGTTGGGGATTCCAATTTTGAAAGCACTGTAATAATCCAAAAGAACTATAATGTAAGTACATTGATAATGAATAAGTTACAAAATACTGTAAATTTGCTATTTATTTACTGTTTCACAGAGGGTAAATGCTATTGATAAGATAATATTCTATAAGACATTTCTTTTTGAGTTATGTAGTACCTTTGCCATCAACAATGATTATTTTTTCCGGAAATGTTATTCACAATGATATTAAATAACAAATTTTTAATTGTATTGCTCCTTTGATTGTCCATTCACACTAAGTGAACAACTGAAATGAGGTTTAAACAAAGTTCAATCATGTATGTCCACAAGGGCAAAACTCACTTAAGCTGTTTAATGTGCTGTGTAATTAAAATTTTAGTAGTTGTCCAAAAATCAAATGCATCATTATATGTGTTGGAAAATAAATATATTAAGCTTAACTGTAATTCTTTTATTTTCTAGCATCAATCTCACAGTTCAGTCAACAAGTTGTAGTTGTGATATTAACAACTTAAGCTAGGCTAACTATCGTTAATATATCATAGTGTTAAGTTGATGGTGTCTAATGATTAAACTAATTTTAACTAACCAAATCTAATCAAAAACACCTTAGGTGCAAAAAAAGGATTGGATGTGTGACTTAAAGAAATGAAATAAAAATTGGGAGCCAAACTGGTAGCTACACTTATAGCATTGATAAGAATTTTACTGATTTTTGTTCAACTTGAGGCAGATGGTGGGTAAAGCAAAATATGCAGCCTAGCTAACTAATGAATGGATATTTGTTGTAAAATTTTTATCAGTACTATAAGTGTAGCTACCAGTTTGGCCAACAACTTTGTTTCATTCCTTTAAGTCACACACTTAATCTTTTTTTGCTGCACCTTTTTTTCACAATATCACATATCATGACTTTTTGTCAATACACACCAACAAACCACAGTAGTTAAGAAAGTGACAATCAATAGTAATCCACATTAACTTTAAAATCACATCCTATTATTTGGAACAGACCTTTACTTTACAGCAGAAACCAGATTCTTTACAACATATGGTGGTAGTTTTTCCTCTCTAAAACAGTGTTAATAGCTTCCTTCATAGTAACACCATGGAATTTAGATTAACAGTTTCTTGTCATCACCCCCATGCAATCAGTACAGCCTTATCAAACATCATTATTTATGCTAATTGCTTAATCTAATATCACATGATGCTAAATATTCTTTAATTAGGATAATTTCATAAAATTTAGTAAATTTGTGCTGAAAAGTTAGCAGTGAATAATCAATAACTGTCCACCCATATGATTCTTTTGAAAACTTGAGCTAGAAACTGTTAATCTAGTTTCCTTGGCCTAATCGATACTTAAGTATCTGTACATCCTTTTGCCTTATAGTTTTGCTGCTCTAAATCAGTCGTCTCTAATGACCAAAAACAAAAAATGGTCCACTTTTATTCTTAGATGAAGTTTTAGTTTTTGTTGAAAAACTTTTGCACATGTGGCTTATATTCACACCAAATGAGGCTGCTAATTGTAGGTTGAAAGATCTATCAGTGTACCAAATTTGAAAAAAAATCCATAAAAATTAACAATGTTTTTCTATCAAATAAAGTTTCCATACCTTTGGGGAGAAGAAAAAAAAAAAAGGAAGCAATTCAATCAAAATTGTAGATGTTATATCTCAGGTATTTCTTAATGTATTGCCTTGAAATTTGGTATGTGAAGAAAGAGTCCAGTAGTGCACATCCACTGAAAATATTTGATAGTTTGTATTGCCACAGTCTGAGCTACAGAAGGTGGAAAATCACTAAACTATCACTCTTGTTAATAGCACACAATATGTCCTGCAGCAGGTTGTTTTAGCCATATGACACACTATTGTATGTCTTGATTATGTAGCAATGTAGCAGGTCTTTAACCTAAAACTGCATCCAAGTCATCAAAAAAATCATATTTTTTTATATCTAAATGTGCATAGTTATTATTACTCCATGATTTCCAGTTTTGGATGGTTAGGATTTGCATATTTGCTTAGGTTCAACTCTTGTTTTAGAATAACCATTTTCTTTTATTTCTTCAACGCTTTTTTCCATTAAATGTTTATCTTTCTTATACATTTTCTAAGTTCTTCATGTGTCAATCGTGTTTACTTTAGTCTTCAGGTAGTAATATTTCAGCATTCAAGACTTATTCTCACAACAAAATGACATAAAGAGGCCGTACAATGCAAATGGCAGAACAGATACCTATGATCTGTAACTGGTCTTTGCAACATATTGTGACCAATGAATGCATTTAATTAAGTTTAAACATGATTCAAGCATAACACTAGGTATATCATAATAGTTGAAAACAAACTTTTTCATTATACATTAAAAATTATTTAGTTAAAAGTTTAATTTTGTTTAACTTTTGTTCTTAGTTATTGCTTGCATTACTCTCTTCATTTGATCTTTTAATTTTTATAGATATCAATGAATGTGAACGGTCAGTTTCTGTATGTGGAAAGAATGGAATCTGCACTAACTTACCTGGCAGCTACCACTGTACTTGCCCAGTAGATACCATTGGAGATCCCTATTTGAGAGGCTGTAAGTCGAATATTTGTTATAAATTAATGTAGTTTTAAATATCTGTTTTACTGTACTAAATACTAAACTACATAATTATCAATATTACAATACTTCTCATAAGTGGTCATTTATATGTGTATGAAAGCATTATTTTTTCATTGTAACACTTTGTAGATCAGTAATGACTGAAACATTGTACTGTAGTCATTTCTTGCTAAACAATAAATGTATACAATTTACACTGTAATGAAAGAAACAAAAATATTAATGTTTTTTTCAAAATCGCTATCATCAAAGATAAGTGACATAGAATGTTGTATTAGCACATAATAATTTAATAATGTGTCTTAATATTGTGTAGAAACAATATATTTGCATATTTTCATAGCAAATGAAAGTATGAAAATTTTGTATATATTTCTCTTTCCACGATTAGCAAGTAATCAAAATGTCATGTCACGTAAAACATTGTTAAGTATTTTATATCTTTTATGTAATTTGTTTGAAATTGCGCTGCACAACAGTTTAAAGATAATCAGAATATGTAACATTATAGCTGTGGGCCTGTGACAGTGCATATACACTGTCATAAAAGAAAGCAATCACCCCACCTTATACTTGTTATCCAAATTGGGTACCTGATAATCAGTCAGGTGATATGAAGTCCAACTGATTAGTCAGTTGGTCCATGCTTTATATAATGGCATCACATAGTCACATTTGATTGATGTCTTTGAAATGAATAATGGTGCTACATATTATTCATAAAGAAGGGATTGAACAAATAGTGGCTCACCAGACTTCATTCCCATCAAATTTACATTGCATTCTCTTAACTCTATGAACACTAAAGATGCACTGGAAACAGCTCTTTTGGAGAAGTGATCAGGGATACCTAAAACTTTAACAACATTTTCATTTTAAGCATGCAACATTGGTGTCAAGCTGCTTCTGCTGTTCCTAGCTGCTTTACTCCATATTAAAGTGAAATGTTCTGAACTTTAAAGATTTACACCACCTCTACCTAATGTTCATTTTTGAAGCTTATGTTGAATGAGTAATCATTTGCATTTCATATGATATGAAATGCAGAGAAATTGAGCTGAGGGGGGTGGTTGTCATTATTTTATAACAGTGATTTTTTTGGTCATAAATTATAAGTACAAATTATTCCTTGATTTTTTTGCAGTATATATAAAAATAACAGATTTAACAGTTTTCTTTTATTTTCTTCAGGTACAAATATCATTAAGAAATGTAAGGTCAATGATGATTGTGCATCAGATAAAGAATGTGACAGAAACAGTGGAGAATGTATCAGTAAGTTTATCTTTTAGTTATTTGTTCATTTGAAACATGAATTATTTACTTTTACATTGTGAAAATACTTCAGTAACACGTTCATTGTTGTGTATTTGTATACATATGTATGCTTGTGCATGTCTAAAAAGATGTTGTTAAGGTAAAATATATTTTATCAGTTAATTTATTTTAGATGGCTTTCATAGATTTGTATCAAAAAGAAAAGTTATCTATATAATATACATATAATTGAAGCAAAATGTTTTAATACAAAATCCATCATAAGTGCAAACAAATAAAACAAGAGTCTAAAAGCACTGGACTCTCCTCTCTATCATTCTTAACACATCAGTTTCACAACTTCTTTTTTCTCTTCATTGTCAGGCAGAAAAACCTCAAATTTTACATAATATTTTGAACTTTTATCATATACCAGTTATATTCAGATGATTTTGATAACTTCAGATAGCTTTTGTAGTTGCTTTATATGTATGTGTGTATATAAACATGTTTAAGGTTCTAGACTTAAGATATAAGTCAACCAAAATCAATTACATGTAAATGCTGCTTTGCTAGTTTTCATAAGAAGTTATTATATTTCATTCCATTCAAAATAAATTAAGGAACATATTACACTTAAAAGGTAGAATAGAAAAGATTTTTATTGTTGAATTTTGTATGGGTTTTTGGCTTAACATGCAATAAAAACTAACTAGAAAAGAGGTTATTTTGAAAGTTGCATGTAACACTAAGTATACCCTGTCTTGTCATAAGCTTTCAGTATAAATATTTACAGCTCTGTGATAAAACAAGTAGTAATATTCATAATATATTGTTCTAATGTCACCTTTGTTGTTCAGCTCCATGTTACATATGTGGCCCAAGATCGACATGCACAGTCACTAGACATGAAGCTATTTGTGTTTGTCCATCTAATTTGATAGGGGATGCATATGACAAGAATTATGGCTGCTTTAATGGTAAATAATCTGTTTTTGTTTTTTGAATTTAGAGTATTATTATTGAAGGTTAATCATATTCTATAAGAATGATGTTCTAGGTTCATGCTGCTCTTGATACTACTTCGTTTATCATCAGCAATGCTCATTCTGATGGATATGAGTATGCACTATTGTTCAATACTATGATTTTCATTGAAAAAACCTTTTGCAAAGGATGGTGAGGTAAACTATACTCATATTCTGACAGATCTTTCTACACATAATGCTATATGCAGACATCGAGACTTCTACATTTAATTAAACTAAGGGGACAAATCCTTGTTTGCAGTATCAGAAGATATGCTTATCTTCATCATAATGGCATTTTGGGTTAGACCTGTAGTAGCATTGCAGTGTGAAAGGGTTGGAAATTTGCTGTGAGCCAAATATGTTATGTGTTAAACATGTTGCTTGTGGTGCCACTGCTTGCATCTGTGATGATACGCTACTACATTGACAAAACGATTTTGTCAAATAAAGTATGATAACCCCCTGTGGATTGTTAGAGTTGTACATTATACCTCCTTACTGACTTAATAGGGACATTGTAATATATTATAAAACTTAAAGCATATACCCCAACACACATTTATCAAAGTTTTTCTGTAACTTCACTTATAATCTTGCTAAAAAAGAATCAGTTTTTTATATCTATAATTTTTGATTAAGTTTTGAATATCCCTAACCATTTTAGCTATCATAATTATAAACATATAAACACACTGAGGCTCATGTTGAATTGTCAGTTTATTGTTAAGATAAAAATAACAATCTTGAAAATTAATTGTGTTCTAAGTATGCTAAAGTGTGGAGATTTATAAATAGATTAGTGACCAATTACAAGTATTTTGTTTTGGAATATTTAAGATGTTTTATGATGCTTACTCTAGAAAGTTTATTTACATTAAGTAATCTGAAACTATTTTCATAGATGTTTTTGGGCGAACCCCAGCTCCTACCAGTGATATGTCAGGTGAGTCTTTGGTTTACTGTATTTGTTATTTCTATACATGTAAAAGAATTAGAAGTATCCTTTTTTTATGAACTGTCAAGCATTTAATAAATCTCATTCACTGAGACAGAAAAAATCAGAGGGTAATATATCAAATACTAATAAGAATAATAAATTATATTAGCATGATTTATTGCTTCTTGTGTTTAAAAATAGCGAGTACACTATCAAAGTGAGCTTATTTATTCTATTTTGTGTTAGTGATGTGTCTTGCTGATGGGATTCAAGTCTCAGTTCATCTTGATGGCTTCAATGGTGTTCTGTACGTCAAAGGACATAGTGAAAACCCTCAGTGTCGACGCTTCGTCACCAACAGTGACTGGCAAGCGGTTGATTTCAAAGTGTTGTTTAATACTTGTGGTCTCATTCATGTAGATGTAAGTATCTCCAAGCTATCATACAAAACAGTTTGAGGTAAAAACTGAATTTTATGTATTTGATAAAAGTTTCTTAATAGTTTCCTTCTTCTTCTGAGTAGTTGCAGTGTATGTTTTTGGGTTGGTATTGTTTTATTTCATTTTCGTAGCTATAAAATATAAGGAAGCAATCAGTATTGTATTAACATGATGTTGATTGTCAGAATTTAAAAATACCATTTTTTTTTCTATTTGTCAAAATAAAAGGCTTTTACTTATACTTATTAGTAGTATAAATATATATATATACTGTGTTGTTGTTGTTGGGCTTAGGATTCTTCTACAGTAGGTGTCTGTGACTTATTGATGAGAAATTCAATGATAAATGAACAGCAAGCACTTCACTTGTTTTCAAAATAATATATATATATATATATATTCGGAACAAGTTAAGTGTATGTACAACAAATTCTTCACACTACAGAGATTATAAGCATATCATAGATGCTATATATATAATTCTCTTCTTCTTGTTAAAAGTCCACTTAGGCCTATTCAATTACTTTAGAATTTCAGTTGACAATCCAAACTATCTTCTCTATTACTATTGCACTAGTGTTCTGTGTGTGATCATTTATAGTTGTGGTGCTAGTTACCGTAATCGTTTGGTTTTCTTTTTTCTAAATATCCTCTGTTCCTTTTGTCAAAGGGCACTCAGGCTGATTCAGTTACTTTAGAACCATGCTTTGATGGAATAAATTATTATTATTATCTCCTTTTCTACTGCTAGTCTTACTCTAACATATTAATCATTAGGCCTATCACTTTTGCGGTAGTTAACTTCACACCAAACTTTTCCTTGTTGTAACTTTACTCTCTTCTGCTATTGTGTGTCTGCTGTTTCCACTCGTCTCACACTATTTATATGTTTTATTACTTATTCATCTGTCTGCCTTCTAGAAATCTCTATGTTCTCAATGTCAATGTATTGCACGAGATGTTCAATAGTCTCAACATCAATGACTTATAAACACAACTTCGTAAACTAAACAGTCTTTTATATCATGACATTGATGTAAGCCATTATCATGCTTTCTATTCTTGAAACCTTTTTTTATATTTCTTTTTCACATTTTATTTTCAGTATTGAGGATTTTCTTTTTTTTAAAAACATACAGAAAATATGTAGACAACATTATTACTCTCCATTTTTCCAGTTTGTTTAACTCAATAACTGCATATCTTCTAGGAGAAAAACAATTCATAATCTTTTAGAATGTTAAAATTTTCATAGACATTTCCTTATCTGAGATGTCTCTCTTCTTGCTATGGTGTTTACTTTTAGGCTTGTATATCAGTACCAATAACAATTTAATGGGGTATATATCATTCACGAAAAGAGTTATAGAAGTAAAAAAATCTCCAGTTTAATTATTTCCAGGATTTATTGAGAGCTTATATTCCTAATGTTTTTCAAACATTCATTGTAATATACAAACTTTCATTCTTCATTATCATGAGCATAGGAAGGGCTGCATTAAATGTAAAAGTTGAAAATACTCTTGCTAATAAACTTGCTCTAAATTCTTCCACAGAATTTGATGGGTTAGGAATCAATATTTACTTTATTTCTTTAGGGTGAAGCGTCCTTTATCCTTGTTATCCAGAAACATCCTAAACTGGTTACTTATCGTGCACGAGCATACCATGTCAAATGTGTATATAACACTGGAGAGAAAACAATATCTTTAGGATTCAATGTCAGGTAATTATCTTTCTCTTAATGAGTATTTCCGTGTTTTTATCTTAAAATTTCTTATGAAGTTTGGAAACTAACAGGACTAAGTTTTATTACTGATACTTAAGTGGTCACTTCACTAAAACATTTGCTAGAAAAAAAAAAGTTAGTTTATTCAACCATGCTAAGCACTTATAGAAAATGCTACTATCTGACTAGAATAATGTTTTGAATTTTGTTGGTTACAAATGTATTTTTTTCATTTTAACATTAGTACTTACTTGTTCACAGCATAATAAATATTCCCACATAAAAATTTTCCATGAATCAGAACATTTTGCAAAGTAATATAATTTTTATTAATCATAGCATGATCACCACATCTGGAACTATTGCAAATACTGGACCACCTCCATCATGTAAAATGGCCATAGTTCAGGCTAATGGCAAGGAGATCACATCAGCTGAGGTTGGAGATGACTTGCTGCTACGTGTTGATGTCCAGCCAGACTGTGAGTAATAATGAAGTTAATATTTCTAAATTTGATATTCTCACAAGCTAGACAGAATAAAACTTTACTTCATATATTAGTTAAGTTAAAGCTACAATTGTATCAAGTTATTGTATCAATTTTAAGTTGGAAAACATAAAGAGAACTACTTTTGTTCTTTGTCAGATATTTATGGTGGCTTTGCTAGAAGCTGTGTAGCTAAAACAACAGATGACAATGAGGAAATAGAGTACCAAGTTACTGATGACAATGGATGTGCAACAGATCCAACTGTATTTGGAAACTGGATAATTGATCCAGATACAAAATTACTGGAAGCCCGCTTCAGTGCCTTTAAATTTCCAACAAGTAACAACATACGCTTCCAGTGTAATATACGTGTCTGTTTTGGATCTTGCCCTCCGGTAACTATTGCTTGTTTCTTACTATATTAAATGTTACTCTGTATGTGTTACAAACTACTGTGATGAATTATAGTAAACCTAAAATGGAAGACACTAGCAATTAATTAAATGTTTGCTATTGTAAGCTTTTGTTGATGAAGTATGTGACATTAAAGATTCATGTGTAGACCTAGAAGAAAATTTTAAAAGCAAGAAATAGTTATACAAAAAACTAGAAAATACAGAAATAAATATTTTAAATTCATGTTTCATTTTATATTTTTTAAACTGTGTATTATTCTTTTCAAGGTGGAACATAAGCTAAAAGTTTCCAGTGTCTAATTTGTTCTAAAATATTTTTCATTAAATTCAGTAGTAGCTCTGAATATGAGACTGAGTTTAAATTCATTAATATTATACAAATGAGAAATTAATGCATTTGCCTTTTTAGTAAAGAAATGGCTAAGTTTTTCACAGAGTTCTGGGCTCAAATGGATGATTATCAATTTTTCCTTATTAAGAATATAATACATAACATGACTTATAATAATTTCCATTGCATCATTTTTTACTGACACAATACAGGTTTCCAGTAAGAGGTATGTATGATACCAGTTTCACTATACATTGTCTGCCTAGTGCATGATGCTGCTGATAAGGCTTTACAACTTTTTGTCTTAGAAATAACTGATATAAATAACATTTCAAGTAATACTCTGTATGTTGTAACCCAACTAGTCTGAGTTCTGATATTTAGTGAAAGCCATGTTGGCTGTTGCATACAACAGCTAAGGTATAAATGAAATGTTATTATATGTTGTTTTTACTGGAAACTTGTACTGGACTAGTAAAAAAAATGATGTTCTTTAAATTATTATCAATCATATTATATTGTATCACACATACATTGCTACTATATGTTATGTTCCACCAGCTAAGACAGTATCATTTTTAAAGCTCATTAGCCCTGTAAAAATACTACATAATTAACAAAACTAATTATGTTTAATATGTATATGTACATAAAAAAAAAGCTAAAATAAGAAGTCTACGTGTAACTCATTGTAAATAAGGCTTCATAGTTGATACTTAACATTTGTATTGTGATGTGACTTACATATTAAGAAGCATTTGTATAATGGCCAATTCCTTAAAACTAGTCTTAATGAATTTGTGCTAATAATTCTAAGGTATTTCATCTTAAAAATATTTTCTGAAAATCTAATTCCAAAACATACATACCATCTGCTGACACTTATAACTATTCCTCTACCTCCAGGGTTTCAACTTTGCCCATCTAAGTATTGGTCTGATTTTTTCTCGCTTGCTCCAGTCTTTTATACACCACTCAATTGCCCTTGGTGATATACTCTCCACCTACATCAATGCGCCCTCTATCCTGGTACTGTATATAAGCACCTCATTCAGATAATTTTATCACTTATTCTCACAAGTGCTGCAATAATTAATGTACTTAGTTGTGATTTTTGCATTGCCAAGTGGCTTTCTGCATAAATTATATTTAATTATTATTTAAAAAGAAATAAATTGTGGCACACTGTTTTCAGGCATGAATTCACAGGTTACTGTTTTCAGCACAGGCTAATCAGCCCTTCTCTATTCAACCTCTGTTATTTAACATCTCTCAAGAATCAGAAGGGAGGGTACTCTCAGTTGAGGCTGTCTATGATCTTATTCATTGTGAGATGGAGACGTATATTTGGTCTGGGGGCATCTCTCCAGGGGGTTTTGAGGCTGCTTTTGTCGATGTTCCATGACACTCTAGAGAGAATTTGGACTCTTTTTCTGGCACATGTGTTTACTAGGTCAGTTTCTCATGAGACCAATTTGGATCAGCCACCTCCTGCTCTATTTCTTAAGTTAGTCATTTGGGTTTGTGAGATTTGGGGGCTTTCTCCAGTTGCCTTTGAATCTACTCCTTCCTTAAGTTTTTCCTCCTTCACCTGATATTGCTGTTCATGCTGAGAGATTAACTGCTCTATTACATGATGGAATAGAATACCTTGTCCCCCTCGATTGTCTGAATAGCATGCTTGGGCTTACCACTGCCAGGTGGATGTACATTTCAATTTTTGCCCTTTCTATGGTTTCCTGACTTGTAATGTGCTGGTATTTATTGGGTAGATGCCTTGTTGGAGGGTTATATGTGGCTCCTTTTCTTCATCCCTTTATGTTTATGGGTGTCCCATAGGCATTGGAATCATAAACTGATATTACCCATTTGCTTTTTTCCTTGTTGTTGTTGGCCTCTAGACTTTCTTTGGCTCCTGCTGGAAGTCATGTGTCCTGACCCCTGGCTTCTGTTCTCGCTCTATGGATACTCAGAATAGAATCCATCCTTATTTTCAAGGCTCCTCTGCTCGGGCAGACCATCGCCAACAGCGTTGGTAGCTACCCTATGTGGGTGGGGTCTGTGGGAGTGAGGTTACAACAACTGAAGAACACCTGGAATTCATTCACCACAGATCCATAGGTACTTTAGGTTCTGGTGTCAGGGTTGGTCATTCTGTTCACTTCTCCACCTTTATTATTCTCCCAACCTGTGGTATTTCCACTCCCAAACAGATCCGTGGATTGTGGATCTTCACTCCAAGACTATCGAAGAAATATTGGTCGAGGGGCTGATAGAGAGAGTCAATCCTGTTCTTCTGGATTTTATTCCCATTTATTTGTTGCATCCAAGAAGACAGGAGATTGGCAGTGATCGTCAATTTTGCTCGTCTCAACCAATTCTTAGGTTCTCTAAGGTTCACAATTCAGTCTTTTTTTCATCCTACACTGGCATTCTTCACAAGGTCTGTGGATGACCAAGTTCAATGTTGCTGATGCCTATTTCCACATTCTCATAGCAAAGTCATTCTACCACTATCTATGTTTCGTGCACAGAGGTCAGGTTTTACATTTCAGGGATCTACCCTTTGGCCTACCATCTGCACCATATGTCTTCTGCAGGGTTGTACGAGTTTTCCTTATTTTCATATTTTGGGCCTGTGCACACACTATTATCTGGATGACTGATTACTTCTGGCACCATCCCATCTGTTGGCAGAATAACACACACACAGATTTTTTGTCAGAAGCCATCAAGGCTGGCTTTCTTATTAGAGGCGAGAAATCCATTCTCTTACTGACTTATTATATTGTCTATCTGGGTGTCATTTTTCAACAGATTTTAAGCCGGGCTCAGCCAACACTCACCTGGCTCCAGGCTATGAAAAGGGCAGATAGGCTCTTACTTACGTGGATAGTTCTATCTCTTTTGGGTATGTGGGTATCCCTCAAGCCTCTGATTCCTTCAGGAGGAGCACACATGCAGTCCCTTCAGGAATTCTGATCCACTGGATCATCCAGTTTTCTTCATTAGTAGCAACATCTTAGTTCTCAAGTGGTGGTTGGATCAGTTCAACACTACCATCAGTATTCCTATACCACCCTCTCATCCAGAGTTTCATCTCTTCCAGAATCTATGCATGTAAAATGAATCTTCCTTCCACATCAGTAATTTAGAACTTATTGTTGTCCAACAAGCAACTGTTCAAGATCTAGATCTATTACAGGGGAAAATCGTCATGATTTATTACATCAGTTCTACAGTGGTTTATTGCATTTCTTGTCCTGGGGGCATGCATTCTCTGGGCCTTTGTTTTCAAACTTTGTATAATCTCTACTGGGCTCACTCCCATCATACCAGCCTCCTGGCTTATCATGTTCCAGGGGTAATGAATTTCATAGGAGATCACCTGTCTTGGCTCAATCAAATTCTCCCAACTAAATGGATACTCTATTGTGAGGTTTTCCTGTTGATTTTCTCTCAGTTTAGGACTCCAATGATTAATGCATTCATTGAAACTCTCAACTTCAAGCATTTTTGGTCCCCAGTACCTCATCCTCTGGCTTTGGCAATAGATGTATTCAGTCAAGATTGGATGGAATTGCATCTCTGTGCCTTTTCCCCAATTCAATCCTCCACTTGCGAGCTGTTGGTAGCCACAGATTAGCTGGCCTAACCATGGTTTCCACTTCTACAGTATCTTCAAGATGGTCCACCTCTGACTCTTTGGGTATATCTGTTGAGGCAAATTGATCCAATATTCTACACCCAGGCTTTCCCAAGCTCAAACTTCATGTATGGAAGTTATGCTGTCATTCGCATGGCATCGGGGTTTAACATTTGAAGTTGCCCTATATGTGTCTCATAACTAAATTGAACCCATTCCACCCAAATATGCCCACCATATTTCATTTTGTGACCTGGTTTTTTTTACTCAGGTATAAATTTGTCTACTGTACCTTTATATTAGGCAACTTAATCGATTATTTTTCATTATACTAAACATCAGAAAGTTTTTGGTTCCCCAGTGCTATCCAGTCTTCTCCAATCATTTAGAGTCCTCCTTCCCAAACAACCTTTTCAATTATCCTACTGGGATATTAGGGTGGTATTACATGCTTTGTCTTGACATCTATTCGAGCCTATAGCCTCATGTACCATGTATCATCTTTCCCTTAAAGGGTATTTTTTGTTGCTCCTTTCGAGGTGATGGAAGTCTACTCTTTATCCATTGGGATCCTTCAGTTTCCCGAGATTTATCCCCAGTTACTTTGATGAGATGGCTTCTTAAATATCCATATTGCTTATTCTGAACATTCTTTAAAGGTGAGGAAACTTATGAGAGTCACCTATCATCAGAATCATCACATTTCTATGTCTTTTGCTGTCCATTTGAATTACTTGCTGGAGGACATCATATGGGCTGGTATGTGGCCTTCTCCCTATACTTTTCTCTAACATTCTTTACTCGATCTGGCAGTTTGTTTTTCTGAGGGTTTTTGACTACCTCTTGTGGCCATTTTGACAACATCTGCTAGATTGTAAGGAGGAGTGAGTATTTTTTTGCTCCTCTTGTCTCTTTACTTTCCAGGGTCCCTTTTCTTTTTTTTTCATTAAATCCCACTCTGTGGCAAGTGTTGCCCAGAGAGGTGTGCTTTTATTAGTCCAATGCCACACTAGCAACCAATTTAACAGGCCTGGCATGCCCAGGTGGTTAGAGCACTCGACTCGCAATATGAGGGTCACGGATTCGATTCCCTGTCACATCAAACATGCTCACCTTTTCAGCCGTGGGGGTGTTATAATATGATGGTCAATCCAACTATTCATTGGTAAAAGAGTAGCCCAAGAGTTGGCAATGGGTGGTGATGACTAGCTTCCTTTCCTCTAGTCTTACACTTCTAAATTAGGGATGGCTAGTGCAGATAGCCCTCGTGCAGCTTTGCACAAAATTCAAACCAAAACAAACCAATTTACTATACTTACTACTGGTTGCAAAAGGCTCTGTAGAAATGAGGTATTCCATAAGACCATTTCGGAGCTCACCAGATGGTATTGCCATATTATTCTCGACTGCCACTCATGGACTATCATTAGTAAAGCTAAAGAGGATCCTGCCAATTGTTGGATTGAATAAATTGGGGTCAGTTTACTTTTAAAGATTTAGAGAACTTGGTTCACCTATTGCACTGTTTCCAGAGCACTGTTCCTCAGGACTCCTCAACGTGCATTACCCCTCAGATTCTACTAGTGGAGCTAGGGAGTCCTTACCACACCCAGTTTCCAGTCACTGGGGTGGTAGAGAGAGGCTTTTCCTCCAGAGTGTTAGTGTTTTTCTCTACTCTTAGAGAAGAGTGCAAAGTTGGGGGCCCTCCTACCCAGGTCCCTGGATTTTTTTTTCCAGATGTCGGTAGGAGTGGTGCCAGCTTACGTGGGAGCCTACTTGTAATACCAGCTCAGATTTGATGCTCAGCTATCCAGATGGGGTGTGCATAGCCCTTCTTTTTGATCAATATCAGTCCAGTATAATTCCGAAAGTTGAGAGATCCCATCCTGGGTCCTTGGTTAAGCACATTTGTTACACATCCTCCCCATAATTCTGGAGGCAAGTGAAATCCTCCTTGCCCACTCAGTTGGGTAGTGAGGATGAGTTATGTTCCTTTGGTTAAGTAAGGCATACACGATCCCATCATTCCGAGCCTGGAATGTTGCCTTTCGAACTTCTTCAAGTGGAGGAAAAAATTATCCGCTTTGATGTTGCTTACTTTCTCATTGTGATTCTGGTGGTTTTGAATGCAACACTCTATGGCTACAGGTTGGGATCCAATCAAAAGTATATTTATATGTAATGTTGCGATCCAACAGCCACCAACATGGGACATAGGGACCAAGACCCCTTAACTCCAACCCCAAGTTGTGGAATTTTGGCTATCTGGTTGGGGTTGGCCTAAAATGATGAAAACTCATGTACTATTCCACCCTTGATACAAGAACTAAGTTCCGGGTGAATAGCATACCTGTTCTGAATGTAGTGTGGTTCCCTCTCTCAGATACGTACCATTCTTATCTTGGTACACCCCTGATTTGTGCAGGTGCTTTCTGTATGGATAATGCTCTCCCACCCTTCCTCCCCACTAAGAGCCATTGTTAGTGACTGGAATGGTGTTAGTCTCAAAAAAGTGATTACATTATCTGATTGAGGTGCTTATGTACAGTTCCCGGATAGAGGGCACATTGATGTAGATGGAGAGTATATCACCAAGGGCAATTGAGTGTGGTATAAAAGACTGGAGCAAGTGAGAAAAATAACATCAATGCTTAGGTGGGCAAAATTGAAATCCTGGAGGTCAAGGAATAAGTGTTAGTGGAGGTAAGTACTATTGGAAATACATTTTCAATTTAGAAAAGTGTTAACTTTGGTGACATAACTTATATCTTAGTCTCAAAATTTTCGTAAAATGATGATATTCCTCCTCCAATACAAAAAAAAAACTACCTGTATTTGTTTACTTAGTAAAACAACCACAGAGAATGCTGGTAATGTGCAAGTCTTAAGGTAAAGGACTTTTCTGCAGATGTACTAACAGGCAGAAATATATCTAGGATATCCCAGCCATATCCCAGCTTTGAGAGACAAAGGAACAATAAACTGAGGAAAATACCTTTAGCAACACAGAGAATGCAAACTAATGGAATATAGAAAATCATCTCCACACCATTTACCCTGAGATCTTCATATCGAACATGTGGAAGCAGAATATATCAGGGTATACACTAGAGCTATAGTGAAGACCAACCCAAGAGTAGTAACATGAGAAAACAAGAAACTTGAAGAAATGCATGTGAAAGAAAAGGACATTTATACTGAGCTCTAAACCTCTAAAAAATCTGCAGTGTAACTATAGGAGTTTACTGGAAACTAGTAGTAGAAATTACTTTAGTATGATGCAAGTGCAAAACACAAGGGTTAATAGACAGGCTTACATAACACTGTAACCAAAATAGTCACAGCATAGGACATAATCAGATGCTGTATCTGATTAGATGGAACCAAGAATTCGGGTGTCAACAAAACTGAATATGAATCTCATGTTAATCTATAATATATATGTTGAGACAAGTTTTCCTTCTTGTTAGGATCATAAAGAAGAATAGCATATGGTTAGATCACAGAGGAGTTCATTATAAGCCAAGTGTCATTAAATGCATATATTAAATATAGAAGGAATTCAGGGCCTAAATAACAGTGATATACAGAAAAGGTGAGTAGAGAGTTTCACGTATCTGCCTGAATCACACCTTTGCAAATTGTAGGGCAGTGTCTTATGCACCTATAAAGAGTACGTTGAAAGATAATTGACATCCTTTTAAAATATGTCATCTCTATGATTCTAAGATTCTAATGTTAAAAGGTAGCATGTGGCAGAAACTCTCCCTCCAATATTCTCTGACCCACAAAAAATGAAGCCACTGAAAAGAAAACATTAAGTCTGGTCTACCTTGTGTCTACCTCCACCACAGAACCAGGATGGACAATTACAAACACAAAAATAGGAAAAAGACACAGCAACAAGTGATGTTGATAGAAGATGATCATGAACAAGAGGCCTTTATCAGTATATCATAACATACAAAATAGCTCTCAGCAGACAATGTTTGTGTGTGTTTTAACTTTGAATAAACAGTGAGAAATCCAAAACTGCCAAGAAAATAAGTTTGTTGAAGTAAGAACCTTTAATTTCACTTAAGAAAAGACTAAATTAACTTATTTTGTCAGCACGAATTATCATGTTAATAATATTTTAGTGTACATTGATTTCACATTGTTTTTCATTATTATTATTATTATTATTATTACAGGTTAACTGTAATGGTGTATCTACTTATGAAAGTAGACATAAAAGACAGGCTCTGAATGAGAAGTTTATTCTGGGAGAGAATTTTCAAGAAGGAACTCTGAGAGAGGAGATTCAAGTACAATCTAATGCCATTCTTACATTGGATCCCAAGAGTGAAAAAGTTTTTGAATCTTTGGATGGTAAGTGGATTGCTGTTAAAACATCAGAATTATGATAAATAAAACCATAATCATTATGTTTAGCCTTACATTCTGCCTAAGTATATTTCTATAGTGGTTATATATTGTAATCAAAACCTATATAAATAGTTGGTTTTGATAACTTATTTTCAATATATTAATCATTTGCACATACTATTTTAAATGTTGGTTAAAATATATGTATAAGGTATCTTGTTATAAAATATTTGTTCATTGTTAAATCCTTTCCTCTGACTCCACTAAAACTTTAATATCTAAGTTTATATAACACAGTAACAGTCTTGAAGTTTTTCAATATCAACATGGTTTAATCAATAGATCCATGATAAAAAAAGAAAGCCACCATGAGAATCCTAATCTTAGTTATTAACTTGGAAAATCTTGAATTTCATAGATTCCTCATAAAAACAATAAGATCCAAGTACCCTCACAAGTCAGGGTAATGTTCTTTAGTAACAGCTTGGAGACAGCTTAAAGTGTCAATGAGGAAATGCCACAGATGTTTTTAGGGTTTATCTAGTCAAGAGAAATAAATCTGTGTATTTGTTTTTGAGTTTTAAAAACAAATGACAAAACTACAAGTAATTGAATGCACTACCAGAACAGTACCAGACATTACGAAACCTGGTAATAAACAAAGATAAGGGACTTAACCAATAGTTTAACCTTGATTGACGCTTTGCACTCATATATTGTTTTGCTTTTTATGCTTACTCTTCAATTGAGAGATGAAAGACTTAACCTTAGCATCAGTTGGATAAGTGGCAGTTTCCTTGTCATCCATATGATTGGTGTTGAATTTTTCCAAAGCTGCTATAGGTGTAATTGCGAAGCATGATTCAGAAACTATGTTTAGCAAAGTGCTTCTAAAGGGATTCTGAATGCCCCTGTGAACAATCTGAATTGACCCGTGCTTCTTGTACTGTGCTTCTAAGGCAATAACATGTTGACAAATTTCAGTCTATGATGGGAGGTACAACATACTGGCATACTTCTGTGCCAGGTAGGTTATTAGTTGAGCTGGAATCTAAACCAAAATAATCACAAATACCAATAGTGTCAGTGGATTCGATAGGAGAAACAGGAGCAGCACTTACATCAAGATCATCCTGAACTTCATCAGCATCACTTGAAACTGGAGATTCAATTGCACCATCATCAGTATCATCCTGATATTCATTAACATTACTACAATTCTGAAATTCAATCTGATTTTGAAAATCATTACTTTTTCCTACTCCTCTTGTTTGTAGTGCAATCAGTGCTACACTTGCAATAGGTTGCTTACTCCGACATTTAATGTAACTTTATATTTGGTGACAAACCGTCACAAGAACATCCACAGTGATTACATTTTATGCATGAAACACATTTAGGATGCTTGCATTTACAAGTTAACTTCCCCACAAGAAACACTTTATATCGAGACTTTAGTGCCTTTATCTGGGCAGTGGGGGCCTGTTGCCAGTCTGCCTAGTGTTTCAAATGTACCCTTTGTGACCGATCAAAATGCTCACAAATTTTCATAACAGTACAATAAATGCTGCAATGGGATGGGGGTTTTTTGTCACCTGAAAAACCTCCCCTTGGTTCATGATGTGCATGTTAAAAGTTAAATAAAATTTAGACTTGTAATCATTTGTTTTATATGTCAGTAGAAGCAACAAAATATTTTAATGGTTATTTGATGTAGTGAAAAGTATTATATTAGGTGGTGTTCAGTTACAGTTTATGATTGTTTATGTTAAATAAAAAAGCATAAATCAAGAGTATAATGGTAGTAAACATAAATTGATGAGGAATAATTATTATTATAATCACCTTAAGTAGTTTAAATACTAGTTTTAAATCAACAAGGAGTTCAAAACAATTAATGTAAATTGTTATTTGTCTGCATTATTATAGGAAACCATGTTTTTGGTCTTTTACATTCCCAAACTTTTACATATATACACACAAGTCTGTATACATGAAATAGAATAGAATAACTATATCTTATAAGCATCTTAAGAACTTGTAAAATAAAACATTCTGTTAAAATATTTTTATTAAGGAAATATATTTTATGGTTAGGAACATTTTTATGTGAATAAACTAGCATTGTCAAATCATTTTAAATATTTTACTCTTTAGGAAGTAAAACTTAATATAGATCCAATTCATTGTAATAGGCAATAAATTACTAATATTGATATATACTGTTAGATTATAAATACTAGTACAGATCCTAATGGATTCCTCTATATTGTTCAGTTGACCTAATGGATTATTTAATTTGGATTCCTCTGTATTGTTCATGTGACCCTTTTTACTAACTTATAAGGAAATGCAATTAAGTGTTTGTCAATTCATAGGATTATTGGAAAAGCCAATCTTTCTATGAGCTTTACTTGTCACTTTTATGGATTTTGATGTATTAAAAAGGTCTTGCTTTGCTGCTTTTTGTCCTTGAATTTGATTTTTTGCCATTTTGAACTCCACCAAGTAGATTAAAAATAGATAACAAGCAAGAAAAATAATAGTGGCTGATAATTTTAAACCTCAGATAATAAGTAAGGAAAATAGGTATAATTTCAGTCATGTACCTATGTAACTTACAGATACAAGATACTCAATGCAAAATGATGAATAGGTATTTCTAAATAAATGGAAGATGTCAATTCTGTCATGCTGTGAGTGGTTTTTAGCTTCAGACACAAGGTTTTGATTCAGTCATTCCCTGTTTGGTTTCAGACAAAAGGTACTATTAAACAAACACAAGGTGTTGATTCAGTCATTATCTGTGTAGTTTTTCAGAAAAAAGGTACTATTAAACAAATACAAGGTGTTGTTTCAATCATTCTCTGTTTGGTTTTCAGACAAAGGGTACTATCAAACAAACACAAGGTGTTAATTCAGTCATTTTATTTGTGTTTTTTCATACTTAAGACATTTGTAAATATACATCATTTACCCCACTTTCGTTGCAATGATATGGCAATATGAAAACACTTGTCTTCATTTGTACAGTTTTTATATATGCTATATTTTATTTATCAGTAATGTCTCATCCAAATATTTGAAGATACAACAAATGTAACTTGAAGAAACATTTTTAATTCTTTGCTTCCTATGATTTTCATTACTAGATAAAATGTACCAGACCAGTCCAAATCATAATTCATTTCTACTGAATCATAACAAAGAAACAGAAAACTAAATTCTATTTTGAGACTGTTATGGACTGATTAGCTGTCACACTCAGGAGGTTTCATACAGAAACAGTTTCTGATACATATATATATATAATATCTGTGTGTGTGTTAAAAAGAACATTTTTACTTCTTGCTGGAAGATTGTGCCTTTCTGTATTTATCTATAGTCACATCTGTGTAAATCAGTAACCTAAATATAATTTTAAACATTCTTCAGATATATTTGATTTTGTCATTTACTAACAGTATTTTTTACTCCTTTTTTTTTCAGAGCCAACAATTTCCAAGATCCAAAATGTTTGCATCCCAAGATTAGGCTTTATAATATCTTTGGTTGTCACTGGTCTAGTAGCTCTAGTAGCTGTAGCCATATCTATTTCTTGTTGGCTAATGGCTTATAGAAAAACTTCAAAGCCCCCTAATGGACCTTTACCTCATCCATTAGACTTTCCTAACCCATTACACACATCTTCAGAACCAATAGTGGCTGAACCCACTCCAGATTACTTCCCTACGCCCTGTCATGGTTTTTAAAGGTAAACAATTTTTAAAAAATTGTGAAAGCTTGTCAGAAAACTGGACTTTTTGTAATGGATATATAAGACCAGAAAGTAGTAGTAATATCTGTCATTTTGCATGGCTCTGTAAAACATATAACTGTTTCACTTTTCCTGTTCATTCCTTAGTGTTCTGAGATAGATGATATTATCAGCTTGAATAATATAAGGAAACCTTTTTAACTTATTCAGTCAGTTACCATATATATTTCAAAGTCCTGGACTTGGTGCTAAATCCTAAAAGTCTAGGAGTTGGGCTGACTCCTGTGTGTGTGTGTGTATGTATGTGTGTCACATTGTGGGTTATTGTTTACAATAAATGGGGCTCTGGATACAGGTGGAGGTTAGGTAAGTGGTTGGATTACTAATAGCCAATAGCTTTCTTTTCTCAATGTTTCCCAGTAATGCATATAGAGGTGTAGCTATGCCCCATGTTGTGCCAAAGTTAACGAGTCTTACTGTGTACCCTTACCAACTGGGCACATATTATCTTGGGTCTAAAGAAAACAAAGCTATTGGTAGTTATGTCAAATACTCTTGTCTTGTTTGAGATAAACATAATTGTTTCTTGTATTATGACAAGAAAACTCTGCTTATTAAGAAGATAAAAATGATGAAATTTGCTTTTTTTAAGGGTGCTGTTCAAATGCAATTTAACTCAGTGGCCCAGTTGTTATTGTGCAACAATTTGGGAGATTCATCAAAGATATGTTTGGTTAGAGTAGTATTGTGGTTTCTCATAATTTTTTTGTTCTGTTTTTTTTTTTTTGTAGGGAGAAGGGCACTGTATTGATTTAGGATCATAATTGCATATTCAACTTATCACTGGAGTGAAATTACATTTGATGGCAAATATTTTGTGGCAATACTTAATATTTTGTATTTGGTAATTAAAATCTACCATTCTTTGTATTGTTTAAGTTTATTTACTGTTTGCTTCTGTTATTTATAGTCAACATGGTAGACTGGCTTCTGCCACAAAATTGAATTTGATATTGGATATAGGCATAAAAAAGAAATATTTCATCATTTCTAGTGTGATAAACATTGCATTTATTACAATTTTCCTAGTTTAGTATAAGTATTATTACCAGTTTCCTAGTTTAATATAAGTATTATTAGGTCTTATGTCTGAGTATTTTTTTTTAAATGTCCAAGAGAAAGTTCACTATTGTGAGTAAAATATTTTATACTTTCTAATAGTTTTCTTTAATCTTTGAAGTCTCAGAACATTTTGGAGAATTAAGAAAAACAATCTGAGAGCACACAATCCTCAGTAAATATAATAATTTAGTTTCTTCATTCTTTACAGCTTTTTGAGCAGGCTGTGTATAAACACTGTTAAGCATTATAAAATAAAATTGTATGAAAAGTATTACATTGTTTGTTAAAATTAGGGCATTAACTTAAAATCTGAAATGCTTGGAATGAAATTGAGCTTTCTCTTAACTACTTCCAGAAATAATTTTATATAAATACAAGAAAGATTCATTTTAGACTGGTCTAAAATTATGTTATTGCTTTAAGTATATTTTGGCATGTGTTACAAAAAAGAAATAGTAATTGATCAATAGTATTACAGGAAGAAATACATCCATTTTTTAAACTTTTGTATTAATTTTTTATCAGTATTATACATTGTATATCAGCTGGCTTTTGTTCTAAGTGATTTGTGTTGGTTTTTCAATAAAGCACTTTTTTATCTATTTTGAAGAGTTTTTATGCACATTTTATACTATACAGCATTCAAATGACTATACTGTTATGAGATAAGAAATCATTTTAAATGTCATTTGTGTATTTAAGTCTTAATAAGACTATTGTAAATCTTCTAAAAGTGAGGCCACTCTGGTTATTTGTAGTTTGGAAATGATACCATAATTATATGCAGGAACATAGCTGGGGCCTTAACCATGTGTCAACATACAGAGCAGAAGTCATTAAGGGCCTCATGCCAAATCTCAGAATGCTGCAGATAGTTTTATGATGAAATTAAATGGTGAAATTCATCACTCCTTAAACAAAAAAATGAAATGGATTTGTAACTCTCTGCATTTTTGCATAAAAGGAGTTACGATAGTTGTGTGGGATGGTGTACCACAGGTAAAACTTTACATTCTGTTAAAATATATCTATAAATATGTATTTATATATCTGATTGTTAAGTCATGAATCCACATAATGTTAACTACTAATTCTGCTGGATGATTTGTTAAACCACCAAAGAAATTTAGAGACTTACATTTTACCTTTACTTTCCATAGTCTCGTTTAATAAATACTTGAAAAAAACATAATTTAGGAGCATAATCTTGTACATCCACTGAACAGTTGGCATTTTAAGAAATTACACTTTTGGGGACTGAAACAAAAATGTCTTTTTTCTTTTTTCATTATTTAGTACTTGCAGAAAAGCATAGAATTAATACCCACCCACACTATCACAATGTTCTTTGACAAGTCTATGATTTAGACCAAGCACTTGATACCTTTATAATTTGGACATTTCACTTACATTTGCTTAGAAATAATCATCTTTTCTTGTTGGTTACTGCATGAAATTATTAATAACTGTTAAAAGTTATAATAAAATGATTAATATAAAGAAAATTATATCAAAGAAAAATAAATTACCAGTAATCAATAATGACATTTAATCATGCAAATGTTATTCAGTGAATAATCTGTTAATAAATACATATATAATTGTGAGTAAAGTAATGTTACTCATCAATCTCATGTAAACAGAAACTATACATTTTATATGTTTGTATTTCACATTATATATATATATATTGTGGTATTCCTAGCAACCTTAACCCTTTTTGTGTGAATTGAACCAATTTTCAGTCTGTGTGTTGATCATTGAAATGAATACACCAGCTTCTGATGTGCATTTTAGAATATATATATATTCTAAAACTATATTAAACTCGTTTATGAAGGTTGTCTCATTAGTTTCATGAAAAGCCATTTCTTCAGAATGTATTGTCAAAATTATGACATAACAACAACATGGTTGCCACAGTCAGAACCTTGTTGCAGTTTGCAATGGAAGGAATTTACAGAATGTCATCTTGATTCAAAATCAAGTTTTTGTTTGAAGTTATTATAGTTATTAATATAATGTGTACATTGTTCATTTGATAATAAAGAAAACTGCTGATTGGCTAGCTTTTACCTACCATTCTTATGAACAACTTTGTGGATTGTTGCAAAGCAATGGTATGAGGCTATTTTATTGGTTTTATTTGATTGATGATAGACAGAAAAGTGCAGAATTTGGCCAGTTCCTGGGATCTTCTGTTATAAGAGTGGACACAACTTTATCAGGCCATCTTTATTCATTATATACTCCAAGATCTACCACTATTATTATGAAGGAGGTTCATCTACAAATTCTATGACCAACACTTCAAAAATGGAAAGAACCACAGTGGTAGGTGATGGTCAAGATACTCTCTCACCCACCACCATCCCCAAAGTTAAGTAATGCTGTCAAGATTATAGACTGGTCATGTTGGATTTAGACAACTCATTTCACCCTTGCCTATCAAAAGAACACCAGCTTGTAACAAATAGTACTGCAGTGTCTATCATCAGAAAGGGTTAGAAGAAGCTCTCTTTCAAATGTGATGTCAGTATTTCAATGTTAGAGCTAAGTCAACGGTGCAACCCAAGTCCTTTCACATACCCGGTGTAAATCATAATAACTCACTTTCACAAAATACCTAGACATGTCTATAGACACCTCAAATTAAAATATGAGGTTAAACAGTCAAAGTATTCAACAGAGCTAGTTTCAGATTTGGTGTTAGAAGGATGTTTTTATCTGTACTAATGCTAAAAGAAAATGACCTGCAGGGGCTGGCAAATAAACATGAAGCAACAGCTCTTGGATATCACCAATCACTTAATGAAGCTGTAGTACAACTATAAAGATAAAGAGCAAGAAGAGAACACAGTGGAAGTCTCTTAGTCCAGCAGAAGACAACTGCCAAATCAAGTGAGAAATAAGGTAATACAAGCGGCTTTTTTGAAATGTGATCCCCAAGGTCATTGAAACACATAAACTTCTCATTAATTCACCATTAGAGATGGAATGTAATCATGTATTTAAAAGAAAATCATTGACATAGAGACATGTTGGGCCAGTGATTAAGACACTACACTTCAGGAGCATAGACAGAGAGTGATCCCCTATCTTAGGTTCAAAGAGAAATTTATTTCATCTATATTAAGTATAAATATTGAACACATTCAAAGGATAGTAAAAACAATCTTTATTTGAACAGCACAAAAGAAAACAGTGTGTATCTGCATAGACAAGAGGATTACTTCTTACTGGATCAGTGAATGGCTCATCAGCTTTCTGTCCCTCAGGATGAATCTCTGCCAAACTATCATGATGAAAAACTAGAACTGAACAAAGAAACTGTGCAAAAAACTTGAATGTAAACTTGCTTTCTTTGTCCAGTAGATGGCATCACCTTGTGACCTCTGTTACCTAACATTATTGGTCAGCTGTTATTTTCAGTCAACTTTATAATCGGCCAGCCAAGGATATTTCAGTGCTAACCTATTCAGTTCAGAGTCTATTTTTCAAGGATATTTCAGTGCTAACCTATTCAGTTCAGAGTCTATGTCCAATACTAAAATATCCTTGTAGGCAGAAGAGACGTTACTCACTAAAGAACAAAGAAACAAAGCAAAAATAATTTTCTGGACCATATGTTGCCACTGTGACAGTGTGGCAACTAAATAATCGAAAGTTTAAGAACTATTCTATATCATTATAAAAGTTAGAAAATACATATTACATTTCTCCCTTCTCTTTCTTTGACAATTGAAATTCAATATAAAACCAGTTGTCCTTAAACTCACAACATTTTAACTTTACCTTATTCCTTGAAACATACATCACACAAATCATTCAAACCCTTTAATAGCAATCAGGAAGTAATCAAACTGTGCATAAAACAAAAAATACACCATTTAATGAATTACTGTAACAGGCAGCACCCTTAGGGCTAGTTGTTGGAGTTTCATTTATGCTGCCAATTACACCAAATTTATTTAGTTGAAGATTGCAGTGACAAATAGAGCTCACAAGTTGCTAACTCGAGGTAATTTACAGTTAGAATAAAGGAACTGAGTCTGAGTCTTTCAGTTATTAATATAATAGTCTTTAATTATTTTCATTTCACAATACATAATCACAATACTAAATGCAAGCATACAGATAACTTCTCTAGTTTAACAATTCACTTATTAGCAAAAATATTCAATTTATCTCATATAAACTTTCTACTAATAATCAGTTAACACATTATAAGTCTTCCTTAAATATTTCTTACAGTAACTACATTGATTGAACCTTGAGGATCAGAAAATTCTACTTACAACATAGTTGGGGTGGTGTAACTTTGCAGATTGGATACTTTCAACATCATCTTGGAGCAACTGCTGGTGTTCATGAGCACTTAGTAAGAACTCGTAAGGAGACTGATTTTCTGCCTCGAACATGAGTTTTTAAACAATTTTTCCTTCTGTTGCTATGAATTCCCAAATAGTATGCAGCACTACCCGCAAGTAGTTCTCACACTTGATTGGTTAATTCTTGTAACACAATGGACTGTTCCAAAACCCTCAAGTGATTGGTTACCGTTATGGTGAGTTAGTTGGTTGCCTTCTTACTTGTGCTAGTACACCAGCATCATGTAAGGAATATATCATCAAAGTACCACTTTTGCAAGGTAACATCAATTTTTTTGTAGCCTCCACAGTACTAATGAGTTGGTGTCAGTAATTAATTACTGTCAATCACTAGTGCATCTACTATATTGCTAGGCAAGAGCTTCATTTTTATAACTCTTTTATAACTTATGATTCTCAATACCACAACTCGCTAGCTTTCTTGACCTAGCATATTTTTAACTCCAACTCTTAAAAACCTCTAGCTGGCGATCTAGGCTACTTATACTTCATTTACTTATTGACCTAGTTTCTCAACAACAGCGTCATTTCTTACGCTATTTTTTATATATATACATGTATTACATTTTACTTTTTTATATTTTGTTTTGCTCTCTCAAGAAAAAATGTCTTAAACTTGGAAATTACCTCGAAGCAATTGCATGAATTCCTCAAAATCCTCAATTGCTCCATGACATAAAATATATATAATGACAAAATACAATGAAGAAAAATTAAACCCTTTACACATATCGAAACATAAGCATTCGAGAAACAAAAACTTCACAATAAGTACATGGATATATATATTTTCTTTTTTATTGTATTCCGTTCATAAGTTAGCATGACATAAACTTTCACAGATATGAAATTATTAAAATCAGCACATTAAACAAAAGCTTCTGATCTAAAAACATTAAAGTACAATCAGAATAACTATGCATATATATATATAAAGAGAACATACCATTAAAATATCTACATATATACAGTGAAGGAAAAAATAATCTTCTATACGTGTACACATTTTCATGGCTTACATTGGGATGTGGCACTGCAGCATCATAACGATGGATTTCCTGGGTGGGCACTGCTGTAACCTTCTGATATTTGTAGACCTCAATCTTGATATCTAGTGTCTGCTTCACCAATCAAGTGACAAAGAGGCTGGGCTGTTTTTACTGGCATCTTCAGC